CAGCTGGGCGTGGCATTGTTACGCACGTGACATCGCGGTTTTAGATTGGCTAGTCCTTCGTTTATGAGTTTGGTGTGAAGGGCTGGGGTCTGACGTCGCGAACGTCACAGCAAGCATGCCCCCTCACCCCCTTGATGTGAACCAACCGGGTCAACAAGCCTTTTGGATCACCCTGGATCCTACTCAGGAAACAACTCTCCAGGCCTCTCTGGTTTCACTGACCCTCACTGGTAACTTCCTTCCAATATTGATCACTCTTCCATACACAGATAAACGCAGTGCAGGCCAATAAATGAGTACCACATTAAGGCCATGAAAGGACAAAAAACAGGTCTCCCATAGTGCAACACTGTTTATTATAGTGAAAACATGTAAAAATGCCAAGTTATGCACTCGCATTTAGGTAGATCAAAGCAGGCTGTCACACCACTAAGTATGGGTGTACTGTGTATAACCTGGTGGACCAAGATGGCGCTCCGCCGGAAGTGTGTCACCACGTCGCATCTACGCGTTGCATCATGTACACGTGATTTCCTTCCTGAGGAAGTCAGTTTATGAGGGTCTTATAGAAAATGGAATAACCGGGACACTACCACATATGGACTATAAAGGGACTACCTTAAGGGGAGGGGGTCAAATAATTAAATGTAGACCAAATAGTGGCCCCCACATATATATAGCGCTGACTCACATGGAAATAACCATGTGGTGTCCTCAGGGCCCAAAAACTAACTTGAGGAAAAAAGGGAAAGCAATGACGAAGGCAAAGGGTGCCTGGGTCAAGCGGGTCCAAAAAGAGGTCAAACTGCGGCTTGTAATAATAATAATGTATAAATCTTTAATTGCAGTAAAAAACACACGAATCAAAGCACATGATAAAACAGAACAATAATGAAAGGAGTGAACCTCACCATTACCAAAGAGAAAAGTAGAAGAGAATGTGAAGGTCGTCCAGGTGATGCTGTGCATACTGTAGTCCCAGCACCAGGAAAGAGGTTATATATAAACCAGATGGAATGGGTGTAAGATATTGGGAAAGAGGAATGGTACCAGATAAGACTGTAAAAGAGAAATCTAGGCCATGGAATTGATTATAACTCTACATCCTCTTATGCCATTAACAATAGCCTGAATTACATATAAAAAATAGGCTAATGACAATCATAGTAATAAAGGCATATGACCAAAAAATTGAAGGTGAAACCGAGTCACGTGGGCTTCTTCAGATACTGGCAGCCATGTTTTTGGAATCTTTTTATACTAGAGATAAGACTCCTTCTGGCCAATGATAAGATCTCAACAGATAAATACTCATGACTGACATGAACATAGACCAATTACATTCAAGTAAGAGTGTTATACACAAGTGAATTATAAAACAATTAGAGAAGGGACAGAAGTAGAAGTATCTCTTTTAGTCTTATACATCCACCAAAAGTTCAATGATCAGAATTATATAGATATGCATCACCAGTATATTAAAAGGAAGGGGTGAATAGCAATGTATGATGGGACACACACAGTAATGGTAGTTGAATCTATAAAGAACTATAAATTAAAAAAGAATTTTGTGAAATTGACTGTCATATAGTATACATATAGGCTGAATATTGCGGGATCTTATGATCTATGATTTATTGATCTCTCATTGAAATGTGCAGTTTGTGGCTGCTGAAGTGTTCCATATTGGCTGCATGAAGCAATCTATACGGCATTCTAGCCGTCACCTATACTGCCATTATCCACCTTTTATGGAACATTATCTTTATACCACACACACTAGTGTGAAATCCACCTTGCAAGCATAAATACAGTCTGGTCATTTTGGGATATATATTGCTATACCTGGAGAAATATCTACATTCAGGCCTGCATCATATATAGCGTTGAGGACGTTCCAGAGAATCAATTTTTGTTTCACCTTCAAGTTTTTGGTCATATGCCTTTATTACTATGATTGTCATTAGCCCATTTTTTTATATGTAATTCAGGCTATTGTTAATGGCATAGGTGGATGTAGAGTTATAGTCAATTCCATGGCCTAAATTTCTCTTTTACAGTTTATCTGGTACCATTCCTTTCCCAATATCTTACACCCATTCCATCTGGTTTATATATAACCTCTTTCCTGGTGTTTGGACTACAGCATGCGCGGCGTCACCTGGACGACCATCACATTCTCTTCTACTTTTCTCTTTGGTAATGGTGAGGTTCACTCCTTTCATTATTGTTCTGTTTTATCATGTGCTTTGATTCATGTGTTTTTTAAATTATTTAGATAGATTTATACATTATTCTTATTACAAGCAGCAGTTTGACCTCTTTTTGGACCCGCTTGACCCAGGCACTCTTTGCCTTCGTCATTGTTTTCCCTTTTTTCTCACTTTATGAGGGTCCCTGAACAGGACCAGTTTATCATATGCACTTTGTGTTATTATCACTATTTTAGACACCTATCATTAGATCTTGAAGGATCTATCACTAATATATTTATCTGTTTCATTTTTTCATTATATTTATTGTGTGATTTGTACATCTATTTTTAGCGCTACACCATTTGTTATTATTATGTTAAATAGACTGTACTGAGTTTCTGAAAAACGCTGCAGAAAATGCTTAGGTGTGAACCTAGGGTAAAGGCAGCCAGAGTAGGGGATAGATGGACAGATTGAGGTTGAGAGTTCCAGAGGAAGGAAGGAGAGGTAAATTATTTTAGATCTATTTTTCAGTTATCAAAAAAAAGACTACAATAAATAGAATACTTTTTAAAAGACTTCTCTAATTTCTAGCACTATGGACGTCCTGTTGACAATGTAGTTGTACAGGCTAACAGCAGTTTGTATACCTATTACATAAGGCGCAAATGAACTAGAACACAGCAGAATGAGCCAGTGAACGTTATGTGTTCGAATAATCGGAACTATCTTTTTTATAGCAGAAGTCTTTTAGATATACAAGAATACAAGAAAACCAATGCTTTTGACCTAGTCAAGGTTGCATTGTATATACCACTTATAGTTTATACATTCTTTTGGATATTGTGTATAAACCAACGTTCTCATTTACTCTGTGTTGTCCATTGTAATGTTTTATAACTATATAATATAACAAAAAACACAGCTATCAAATTCAACTTCTAAAGTGAACCTCTGCATTGCCCATTAATAGAGAACTTAATCCTTTCATAATAATGACAACAAAGGTACATTTATAACAGTAAGAGATACTTTACTGCATACCTTATTTTTCTTTCCCACTCCAATCTTCTCATGGTGGCCATTTTCACTAAGGGCAGATGAACTAATCTCCCTTTACTTCCTGGTACTCTGCCTAGAACTCTGGGTCTGCCTCCTGGAGCATGTGGCAGGAACTTCCCAGGATACACTTGTGAGGCCAGGGTTACATCACCAGTGCCTCACTGAAACAAGAAGTGGTAAAACAGTAATCACAAGTAAAAGTGAAAAAAATTTTTTTGAAAGGAGGGAAAGGTCCACCTTAAAAGCTAAGACCATCTTTGGAGAAAAAAATGTGCATTAATTATTTTTTCCCACAGGAGCCTGGAAAGCATTGCACCCATGATCAGTAGTGTGCAATATCAGGCTCCTGCAGACATGTCCTCTGGCTTTCAGCCCTGTCCAGGAGGTGAGGGGGCATGCCTGCCATCTAAGGCTATATGCTCACCATCTGCACTAGCACTGAAGCACATTTCTTGAAGATAAAGGCACCTCTTTGCATTTATTGCAATTTTTGTAATTTTCTGCATCCTTTTTGGACACTTATGCATTTGTTTTATGTGTATTTCTGATTATTTATGAGAGTGTATATTATTTGGGTATTTAGCACCAGTCACTTTATTAGTCATATATCCCGAATTTGGGATTCACTTTATAAATCACCTAGTGTTTGGGGGTTTCGTCCCAATTGGAATTGGTCATTGTCACTTTATGAGGGTCCCTGAACAGGACCAGTTTATCATATGCACTTTGTGTTATTATCACTGTTTTAGACACCTATCATTAGATCTTGAAGGATCTATCACTAATATATTTATCTGTTTCATTTTTTCATTATATTTATTGTGTGATTTGTACATCTAGTTTTAGCGCTACACCATTTTTTATTATTATTTACACTTGTCCACATATAGGTAGAAGATAGGGTGTTAGCTGCTTATTTATTTAGGTTCCTTATTAGCGCAGGAGGATTTCCATTATTAGTCCATTTAACATGATTTCCTATGGGACATGTTCACCCAGTGCATTTTTTGGAAAGAGTTAGGGACTTTTTTTAACTCAAAAAGCTGTGTTTTTGGTTATGTAGAATGCAATGGAAATGCTGCAGAAAAGCACGTATTGCATTTTTGCTGTGTTTTTGGTGCGTTTTGCATTATAAATCTTCCTAGTAACAAGAAAATAAATAAATCAATCAATTAAAAAAGACAAAACACATAAGAAACGCATCAAATACGCAGGTGCAAAAACGCAAAACGCAATGCGTAAACGGCTCAAATGTAACCTGCATAGGTGTGAACGTAGAGTTAGGCAATCCCTGAAAACTCATCTCTTCAGGGAAGCCTATCACACCTCCAATCAAACATTTATCACTTCCATCAGCTCGTCCCCCACAGTTATAACCTTTTGTACCACTTGCTCCACCCTATTAGATTGTAAGCTCTTATGAGCAGGGCCCTCCTGATCCTCTTATTTTTTTATTGTATTGTAACTGTACTGTCTCCCTTTATATTATAAAGCGCTGGCGCTATATAAATCCTGTATAATAATAGTAGAAGCTTGGTGCTCTAGGCACAGGGTATCCGTGGACATACAATCCCACTTGCCTGGCAGGATGGACTCTCACTATCTACGGGGGAAGAGGAAGCAAACATTTTTATAACTTTTCTTATTTAAAAAAAATGAAAAAGGTTAAAAAGTAATCATATGTGTGCTGAGACTATATATATCTACAATAATATATAATTTGAAAAATGAGTTACTATGTACCGCGTGCGAATGTTGTCTTCTGCCCCGAAATTGGATTGGGTTCCTCTGATGTCCCTAGGCAAGAAGAACCAAGTAAAAATTAACTTCAGATTGACAAAAACACATGGTGATTCTGTAAATTCATGAAATATGAGTATGAGCACATCTAAATTACTAAGAATGACTTGATTTGTGGATTTTAAGGAAATATTATCTTAAGTTACTAAACACACACACATAGACTCACTGGCCACTTTATTAGGTACACCTAGCTAGTGCCAAGAAAATATCCCCCACACCATTACACCACCACCATCAGCCTGAACCATTTATACAAGGCAGGATGGATCCATGCTTTCATGTTGTTTACACAAAATTCTGACCCTACCATCTGAATGTCGTAGCAACCAGTCTGGCCATTCTCCTCTGACATCAACAAGGCACTTTCATCCACACAACTGCCGCTCACTGGATATTTTCTCTTTTTCAGACCATTCTCTGTAAACCCTAGAGATGGTTGTGCATGAAAATCCCAGTAGATCAGCAGTTTTTGAAATACTCAGACCAACCCATCTGGCACCAACAACCATGCCACGTTCAAAGTCACTTAAATCCCCTTTCTTCCCCATTCTGATGCTCAGTTTGAACTTCAGCAAGTTGTCTTCACCACATCTACATGCCTAAATGCATTGAGTTGGTGACATGTGATTGGCTGATTAGTAATTTGTGTTACCAAGCAATTGAACAGGTGTACCTAATAAAGTGGTCAGTGAGTGTATATATCAATGGTAGATATAGATAGAATTCTGTATAAACTTATTGTGATATAAGCCCAGATTTTAGCATTTGGAACATTGACATTTTGCTTTAAAGACGTTTTCTGATTTTCTGAAGTGCAGAAGCAGCTAATTCAATTAAACTAATTTAATCAAAGTTAAATCATCACTTTGAATATTTTATCATGCATGCTAATTAAAAATCCATGGTCCACATCACTTGAACCCGTGTGCTATTTTAAAACAATTCTGGTTCAGCAGATATTTGTTCTAGGGACTTTTTAAAATCGCACCCGGTCTTAGAGCCTGTGGTGAGTCCCTTCCTGTTCAGTCCTGGCATAACTTTAACTGGTCTATTGTGCCCTTGGTGGGGCAGGTAAGGTCTGCTTGATCACATGACCACTGTGATTGCCTGTCACAGTGGTCACAGGATTGGGAGCTGGTCCACTTACTCCTAATCATTACTAGAGACCGGGAGCTGTGTTTGACAGCTCTGTTACTGTGCTGGGAGCAAGCAGCGAGCACTCTCTCAGCAGAGACGCCTGTGCGACCCATGGAGACATACACTATATTGTAAAAAGTATTGGGCCATCCCTCCAAATCACTGGATTCAGGTGTTCCAATCACCTCCATGGCCACAGGTGTATAAATCAAGCACCTAGGCATGCAGACTGCTTCTACAAACATTTGTGAAAGAATGGGTTGCTATCAGGAGCTCAGTGAATTCAAGTGTGGTACTGTGATAGGTTGCCACCTGTGTGATAACTTCATCTGTGAAATTTCCTTGCTACTGAATATTCCACGGTCAACTGTTAGTGGTATTATAACAAAGTGGAAGCAACTGGGAACAACAGCAACTCAGCCACAAAGTGGTAGGCCATGTAAAATGACAGAGTGGGGTCAGCGTATGCTGAAGCGCACAGTGTGCAGAAGTCGCCAACTGTCTGCAGAATCAATAGCTAAAGACTTCTAAACTTCGTGTGGCCTTGTTTTTCAGGGGTTGGGCTTGGCCCCTTAGTTCCAATGAAGGAACTCTTAAGACATCAGCATACCAAGACATTTTGGACATTTCATGCTCCCAACTTTGTGGGAACAGTTTGGGGATGGCCCCTTCCTGTTCTAACATGACTGCGCACCAGTGCACAAAGCAAGGTCCATAAAGACATGGATGAGCAGTTTGGGGTGGAGGAACTTGACTGGCCAGCACAGAGTCCTGTTCAACCCGATAGAACACCTTTGGGAAATTAGAGCGGAGGCTGCAAGGGCCAACATCAATACCTCAAATGTGCTTCTGGAAGAATGGTCAAACCTTCCATAGACACACTCCTAAACTTGGGACAGCCTTCCCAGAAGAGTTAAGCTGTTATAGCTGCAAAGGGTGGGCCAACAATATTGAACCCTACAGACTTGGGATGCCATTAAAGTTCAATACTTTTAGCAATATATGTATGTGTGCCATGTGGGCATTAAAGTCCACCCTCTTTGCCACCACATATATGCGTTACCTGGGTGGCAACATTAAGGAACAACATTAAGCCTGGGAGCTTAATCAATCAGATTATGGGCTTGCAACCATGCTTGCAGAATGCTTTACAACAGTAAACTGTTATTATTATTATTATACAGTATTTATAAAGCGCCAATAGTTCGCTCAGCGCTGTACATTACAAAGGGGGACAATACACGAGACAGTACAGTAACAATACAATGTGATACAAGAGGGTTCGCTATATAAATTCTGTATTATAATAATAATAATATTAAGAAGAAGAAGAAGAAAAAGAAGAAGAAGATTCTTGAAGGGTTTCAGGGAATCAGGTTTCCACTGCACTGAGCCAGACCCCTTACCCCCATGAAGAAAGTGTAAATAAAAAAATAAAAGTAAAACACATTTAAAATTACAAATAATACAGTAAATACACAAAATAATTTCCTTGTCCCGATTAACCCCCAGGTTCCAACAAATGTGTCAGATTATCTGGATGACATTTGTCTTTACTGCAGGGAGTGTCAAACACTTGTCGTTCCAATTTTTTACAGCCACAAACCGGCACAAATGTATCCCTTCATGCTTATTTCTGTATGCAAACCTGATGTGATCTTTTCTTAAAGAAGATCTACCATTACACATTTCAAATCTGTCCGTTCATTTTTAGGCAGCATGGTCAGACAGGTTTCCTTCCCCACTTCCCTTACCGACAACGCTACTAGGAAGGAGACGGATTGGTGACTGACAGTTCTGTTCTCTGGCAGCAGGGGCCGCTCTGGAGACCAGATCTTTCATTTACAAAAACAGACCACTCAGGCGGCAGCTACCCGGGCTGCTTTTAACATTCACAGCTCAGTCAATGGGGTTCTGTGCTGGCCTAACACCCCCCACCAGAATGCCCATAATTTACCCAGCAAAAGGGAGTGGAGATATAGCCAGCATATAGAGGTGTTTTTAGGGAACAGCACCGAGCACTACATATGTATGGTCCCCTGGGGAGTTAAAGTGATTGTAAACCCTTATATATATATATTCACTGAAGTGACTAGCCTCAGATGCTACACAGAGATTAAACAAATCCCCCTATATAAATTGTACCTATTTATCTGCAGCCCTCTACAGCCTCCTACAACACACATCAAAGGCTTTTTTTGTCAGATGCAGAAGGCAGGAGGCGAGGATCTGACATTGCACACTGCACAGCATGAGAGGAGAGCTCAGTGTAATCTGAGACTGGAGTGTAGGAAATTGACTTCCCCCTCTACACTCACTCATAGTAAAACATGCACAGCTGAGGCTGCCAATCTCTTGTTGTGTGCTGGAGGGGGTGGAGGGCAGGACTTGCTGTCAAGATAGACTGTCAGATAGCAGAGGGAGGAGAGATCAGATTGGAACCACATTAAGTGCTTTGGATTGAGGTTAGTACACATTATGGAGGGATATCATTTGTTCATTTTTCATCTTTAAGGTTTACAACCACTTTAAATAAATAACAAAAAAATTGTGTTTTTTTACTATACTAACAATTTTCCCAAACAGATCATTTTTCTCAATGATCTGCAATGTTGAAAGGGGAAATTTGTCCTCCAAAATTACAAATCAAACTTTGTATTTGGCTGTTTTTCTATATTACATAAAATCACATTTCTGTGATATCCTTTTTTTTTTTTCTATTTCTACCTCTTAAAAACATAGGATATAAAATGTGTATTTCTGTAAATCTTAAACCAAATTAGCGTTCGATCTGACCTGGAAAAAAAAAGTTGTAGAATATGTTGGGTAGACCACATCAGTTACAAGGTGAGAACTGAGACATTACAGAAATGAAATAATACTCCACGTCTCATGGGGTGCAAAGAGAGAAAAATGCTGTAAGTCCCCATAAATAGAATGTCCCCTTTGTGCTCCATATAACTGCTCCACAGCAATCTAGACTTGTCAAACGGTCTGAGGGTGCAATTCTCACCTTTAGGTTTGCTAGACATCAACTCGTGAAAGATTTCTGAAAAACAATACATTTTTACTGATCTTTTATTGAAAAAGTAAGGAGTAGAAGACAAAATATACAAACAATAACAACACTGGAAATAAAACATGTCATAGAATACAAAAGGCACAAAAGTAGGAATATTTAACCAATATATATGAAATTAAACACAACCTAAAGCTAAACTCCAGATTTACCTTCAGCCTTGCACAGTTGTAAAGACTCCTCTCTTGTACTAAAATTCTTGATTTTACTGCACACTGTGACCTGTGCACAGTGTGCATTAGACGATGCAGCAAGCTTACCTCATTTTCTGGCTCCAGGACATCCAGAATCATCTAATCTTTTCTCACCAGCCTTACCGTCCTTGACCTGTCCCAGTCATTTATTGGATTTCAGTTCCATTAATATGTAGGCTCAGCATCACATGTGGGTGTTAGCTAGGGCAGTCTGCATGCAAATGAAGTCTGCCTAGGAACACACACTATCCCAGATTAAAATCCACCCATCAAGGCATTTAATTATTTGGACAACCCACTGGCATCAGGGCTGGGGGCCAGTGGTGTATTTAGGTTTTGTGCTGCCCTAGGCAACACAAAAATCGTCTGCCCCAACGGACACTAGCCAACACCACCCCCCCTTCCCCCTCCTGCGGAGAGAGTCTGACACTGACCAACAACACCTCTGCCCCCCACTCGGGAGAGCCTTCACTACCCCTCCGGCAATAGAGAGACACTCATCTTCAAAGCTCCGGATATCCCTGGGAATGGGAGTCAGGCTCTACATACACCATCAAGCTGCCCACAGCCTCTCTTGGATCCCACCTGGTTCCCATGGCACACGTGTCCCTTCTTTCATCCCTTCTTCTGAGGGGAGGTGCTGACCCCCTGAAAAATGCCGCCCTAGGCAAGTGCCTCGTTTGCCATGTGGTAAATAGACCCCTGCTGGGGGCTGTTGATGAGAGGAGTACTGAGGCAGGATGCTAGGTATAGCACCCTTCTGGCCCCTTCACCAGCCATGGTCTGTCTGTGTTGCATAAAGAAGCACAGAGGCCCTGTAACAGCTGGGGTCCTGCAATAAGCCCAAAGATTGAAACAGTCAGCTCCTGGCCTTCCGACTGTTTTACAGACCACTAAATAGGGGCACGCTCTACAATCGAAAGTAAACAGAACACTTCTGTTTTGTATTTACTGTACATCAGAAAGGAAAGTGATGTCACAAGTGTCTGTCCCTCCTCTACAAACAGCAGTAGATCACTGCTACAGTAACCCATTGCAGGCTGACCGAAGCCAGCAATAGATCACTATTAGAAGGGAGGGTCTGGATCTTGTCTCTACTGACCAAATCTAGACCATCGTATGAAGAAAAAAATAAAATAAAAAATATTAATATTTGCAAAGTGCCTTTGAATTTGCTAGGGAATTTGACCTCTCCAGTAGGAGTTGGTTCCCTAGCACAGTCCTCTCCTCTTTTGGAATTACTGAATGTGCTGGCCCAGCTCATGCACCTTCCCCTCCCTACATAATCTTTTATGCAGCTGTTATTGAAGAGGTAAAGGGGAATATTATAGAGTGCAATTTAAAGCTGAACTTCACTATCTCAATCAACATTGACTTCCTTAACAACCAGCTAGGGAGTTATTTACCACAAAATTCTTAGTGAATTGCACATTTGCAAACAATTTACTACATGCATTATTTTACAGCACTTTTTCAGTCATTTTTAACTCTCAGTGTAGTGACCCCTTTGTCTTATACATCCAAAGCCTGCCTCTTGTTCCAAAAAGTCTGTGATCTGTTGTTTCAGGGCATGTTTAACCGCTTTCCTGACTTCCTATAGCAGAAAATACTGCTATAGGGTGGTAGGGGTGTGCAAAATCACAGTTAGGTCCATATATATTTGGACACAGGAACAATTTCAGAATTTTCAGGTATTGACCAAAACGTATTCACCTATAGTTATATAATGGATATGGGCTGAAAGTGCACACTCTCAGGTTTAATTTGAGGGTATGTACATCCAAATTGGAGAAAGGGTTTTAGGAATTATAGCTCTTAAGAGCAGCCATCCCCCCTTCTTCAAGGGACCAAAAGTAATTGGACAATTGAATCAAAAGCTATTTCATAGCCAGGTGTGGGCTACTTCTTTGTTATTTCTTCATCAATTAAGCAGGTAAAAGGTCTGAAGTTGATTCTAACGTTGAGCATAGACGGGTCAAAAACTGTCCGTTTAAAAAAAAAAAAAAAGCGGTCGTTCGATCGGCCGACATTACCACCAACGGTAGTTGGTTGCAACCGCAAGACTTTTTCATATAAAATATAATAGCGGACTGGAATTCTTCTTCTTCTTTGTTCTTCTTCTTATTTTTCTTCTTCTCATTATTTTCTTCTTCCTGCAGGTCACGGCTCATGCGCAGATTTTATATCGGTAAAACAATCGGCCGATTTGCCCATCATTGCCGGGAAAATTGGCCGATCGTCAAAATCGGCTGCAAATTTTCCAACATGACCGATAAAAAATAGTGTCAAAACCCCGAAAAAATGGCCGACCAATTAACCCACTAACGGTGCAAAAATCGGCCGATTTTCGACCCATCTATGGCCTCCATAGGTGTGGTATTTGCATTTGGAATCTATTGCTGGGAACCTACATCATGCGTTCAAAGGAGCTGTCCATGCAAGTAAAACAGGCCATTGTAAGGCTTCAAAAATGAAACAAATCCATCAGAGAGATAGCAGCAACATTAGGAGTGGCCAAATCGACAGTTTGGTACATTCTGAGGAAAGAAGAACGCAATGGTGAGCTCAGCAACATATAAAAGGCATGGACGTCCATGGAAGACAACAGTGGTGGATGATCGCAGGATCCTCTCTATGGTAAAAAAAACCCATTCACAACATCCAGACAAGTGAAGGACACTCTCCAGGAGGTGGGCGTATCATTGTCAAAGTCTACAATCAAGAGAAGACTTCATGAGAGCAAATACAGAGGGTTCACCACAAGGTGCAAACCATTCCTAAGCCTGAAGAATAGAAAAGCCAGATTAGACTTTGCCAAAAAACATCTCAAAATCCAGGCCAGTTCTGGAAAACATTCTTTGGATGAATCTGTACCAGAAAAAAGTGTGGAGACGGCTTGGAACAGCTCATGATCCAAAGCACACAACGTCATCTGTAAAACATGATGGAGGCAGTGTGATGGCATGGGCATGCATGGCTTCCAGTGGCACTGGGCCTTTGGTGTTTATTGATGATGTGACAGAAGCAGCCGGATGAATTCTGCAATGTTTAGAGATATACTGTCAGCCCAGATTCAGCCAAATGCAGCAAAGGTGATTGGACGGTACTTCACAGTACAGATAGAAAACGATCCAAAACACACTGCAAAAGCAACCCAGGAGCTTTTGAAGGAAAAGAAGTGGAATATTCTGCAATGGCCGAGTCAATCACCTGATCTCAATCCAATTGAGCGTGCATTTTACTTGCTGAAGGCAAACCTAAAGGCAGAAAGACCCACAAACAAAGAACTGAAGACAGCTGCAGTTACAGCCTAGCAAAGCATCAGAAAGGAGGACACCCAGTCTTTGGTAATGTCCATGGGTTCCAGACTTCAGGCAGTCATTGCCAGTAAAGGATTCTCAAACAAAATATTACAAATGAACATTTTATTTATGATTATATTCAATTGTTGAATTACTTTTGGTCCCTTGAAAAAGGGGGGAATGGCTACTCTTAAGAGCTGTAATTCCTAAACCCTTCCTCCAATTTGGATGTACATACCCTCAAATTAAACCTGAGAGTGTGCACTTTCAACCCATATCCATTAAAGAACTATAGCTTGAATACGTTTTGGTAAATACCTGAAAAAACCTAAAATTGTGCCTGTGTCCAAATATATATGGACCTAACGTATATACGTGATTCTGCATTTCCAGGTAGGGGGTGCGTGCAAGCCGTACACGCTCCCTACTCGCGCCACCATTGGCGGCTTCACCTGTTGTGTGATTCCCTGCCGGCACCCGGCGATCGCCGTGTATCACCGACAGGGGAGAGACCTGTATGTAAACAGTGAGCTCCTGCACACTGCTTTGTATGGCTCCACATAGTAGAGCCATACAAAGCAGTGTGCTTACAGTGGAAAGCGCACACATAACACACAGTAAAACAGCACACAGCACACAGTTAACCCTTTGATTGCCCACGTTAACCCGTTCCTGCCCAGTGCCATTAGTACAGTGTCAGTGCTTTTTATTAACACTGATCACTGTATTAGTGTCACTGGAAAGTCAGTGACAGTCAGTTCCCCCCAGTGTCAGAATGCCTGCCGCAGTCCTGCAGTCCCGTTATAAGTTGCTGATCGTCGCCATTATTAGTATATACAGTATTAAAAGAAAAATTCCAGCATCTATACCACCATTTGTAGATGCTATAACTTTCAGATAAACCAATTAATTTACACGTATTTGGATTTTTTTTTAGCAAAGATGTAGCACAATACATTTTGGCCCAAATTTTGAAGAAATTAGATTTTTTAAACTTTTTTACTGGACATGTTTAATAACAAAAAGTCAAAAATATTGTTTTTTTCTCAAAATTGGCGGACTTTTTTTATGGCGCAAACAATAAAAAACGCAGATGCGATCAATTACAAACCGAAGAAAGCTCTATTTGTGGGGAAAAAAGGACATCAATTTCATTTGATAACCAATAGCTGTGCACACTCCCAACTAAGACAATATAACTCCTATCCCCCCCCCCCCCCAAAAAAAAGAGAGAGAAAACCTTTCACCCTTGAAAGTAATACAATCTGTGAGCTCTTCTTTTCAAATATAATCTAACCCAATCCCATCATCTGCACATCAAAAAAAAAAAAAATATATATATATATAGATATTAATTCACATAAAGTCCCATAAATATCTCTGAAATCTCATAAATGTCCAAACAATGTCTTTTCCACCTCCAAATCACATCGTTTCACGCTGTATATGGTAGTCCAACGTATTGTATCCCAACATTCGTGAACCTCAAAAAAAAATATAAACTAGAAATAGTGTATTACCTTTTTTACTGTACACATGATATGCAGTGTGCATGACACACTATTTGTTGCACTGGTGTGTCCAGTAAAAAAGGTAATACACTATTTCTAGTTTATATATTTTTTTTTTGAGGTTCACGAATGTTGGGATACAATACGTTGGACTACCATTAACAGCGTGACACGATGTGATTTGGAGGTGGAAAAGAAATTGTTTGGACATTTATGAGATTTCAGAGACATCAATTTCATTTGGGTGCAGCGTTGCATGACTGCACAATTGTCAGTTAAAGTAACGCAGTGCTGTATCGCAAAAGAATGGCCTGGTCAGGAATGGCGGTAAATCATCTGGAGGGCAAGTGGTTAAAAATGAGGGTGTGAATTTGTGGGAGTGACTACAAATGCCTACAAATGCAGGTGTGGTTTTGTAGGCGTGGTCAGTAAGGTGTCTTTGGATTTAATTTTGAAAATCTGGTAACCTTGGTGTAGTGGATATCGGCAACTTGAGTACCACCTGTGCACACAGGGTCTTTGTTTACTGCTAGGCATTCATATCCCTGTCCTTCATCATTTTGTGTATATCAATCAGCAGTGTCATTCTGGGCATTCTTACTTTTAATAAAATCATGAAAAAGATTGTTGCTTGAAGGTGCGCTGCCCCAGAATTCTAAGGAAAACAAAATACATTTGCTTTAATTAGAATGATGCTCTGCATACAACGCAATTGTGATTTAATGTATCATAATTCTATACAAAACTCAATAGTAACACAATATATATGATAAACCAATTTATTTATTTTTTTTATATTTTTTTCCTTGTTTTATATATATATATATATATATATATATATATATATATATATATATATCTCAATCAAACATAACTTTATGACCACTGACAGGTACAGTGAAAACATTCATTATCTTGTTACAAAGGCATCTGATAGTTGGTGGGATATATTAGGCAATAGGAAGAAGTGTTAGCCACACACCTGAGTATTGATTAAATGCAAAGAATATTTATTGATCCATAGGACACACAAAACACCAGGACATATGTACAGAACTTGTTAACGCGTTTCACACGATCAATAAGCACGTGATGTCCTGGTGTTTTGTGCGTCCTATGTATCAATAAATATTCTTTACATTTCATCAATCCTCAGGTGTGGGGCTAACCCTTCTTCCTATTGCATCACGTGTGGTGGTGAGCCAGAGTCTGCACCTGCCTTGGTTTGACTTGGATTGTATGCCTGAGCGGTAATACCTCTGCTTCTTGGATATATTAGACAGCAAGTAAACATGTTGTCCCTGAAGTTGATGTGTTGACAACAGAAAAAAACGGGCATCACAGTTTGTTGAGTATGGACTGCATAGCTGAAGACTGGTCAGGGTGCCCAAGCCAAAAGGTGCCTACAGTGGGCATATATTATATTATTATTATTATTATACAGTATTTATATAGCACCAACAGTTTGCTCAGCGCTGTACATTATAATGGGAGACATAAGCATCAGGACTGGACCACGGAAAAATAGAAGAAGGTGGCCTGGTCTGATGAATCACGTTTTCTTTTACATCATGTGGATGGACACAGTGCAGGAGGAAGATTTCAGGGGACAAGGGTATGTAAACCAGGACATTTAGCAAATATGGGGCAGTTGCTTTGATCTCCTCAAAAGTGAATGGGCCTAGGGTAGCTGCCCCTTTTGTCCGGCCTGGGGGGAGCACAACACAGCCGACATCACAGCACCTGCACCACTGTTGGAGACTGGAGCATCCACTCACCCTCTACTACCCACTGCTGATCACTGGAGGCCTTCGGGAGAGACCAAGTGGGGCCCTTCTACAGCGAGAGGTCATCACAGTATTTCAGGGACTGATGAGAGGGCTATTCGCCCTTTGCTGATTCTGATAGCAGGGACTGAGCCACTGAGAGCAGTACACCAAATGTACCCAATCCATACTGCACTCTATACTGCACCTATAACAACCCTATACTGTATTATACTGAACCTTTACCACATCTGAACCACATCAACCTTGCACCTGTGCCAAGACTATATTGTACCCATACTGCTTGCTGGGACTGTCATTAAGTGCACCAACGCTCTTAAAGGGCTCCAACGATAGCTAGTAGAAGAAGATCTCAAGAGCTGCCTTTTGCATAGTAATTACTTTACAAGCCTCCTTTGTTCCATTGCCACCTCTGCTGCCATCCTACTTTTCTTTTGGACAGTGCATACCCAGTTGGTCTAGGGCAGAGGTAGGCAACCTGTGGCTCTCTAGCTATTGTGGAACTACATTTCCCACGAGGCATTGCAACATTACAAAACTAACAGTTACAGCTATGACTTGCAGAGGCATGATGGAACTTGTAGTCCTGCAACAGCTGGAGAGCCGCAGGTTGCCTACCCCTGGCCTAGGGGTTAACATAGTTGCCATAAATGTCCTCTGGCAGTATAGTTCCAGCACTCAGTAGATTAAAACTTTATTACTGTTCACTGCTGCACTTCAAGTGGCTTTGCTACTCTTTATGCTGATTTGAAAACGTAAATGTCATTTTATGCCTAATCCTTACTGTTAATCGCTTTGTATTCTAAATTATGTTATTATATTGTTAATCCATTTTGTGCTTGCCTTGTTAGAAACCATATTGGGTGACAATATATTAGGTTTACCGTTACTACCTGGTTTTGGTGCTCTTTTTCTTTTTCTCGTTTTCTTTGATATAGTACTACTATTGGGTACTGAGTATTACTTTCAATGATTTCCTGTGATATTATATGTTGTACACTCAACTTGGTGTGTCACAGGGTCTGAGGTTCTAGAAAAGATCAGAGCAAAGAACAGCGTATACATCCTATCCAGTGGCAACTACAAGAGTAGCATATATACTGTGTATTATAGTACAGATTGCTCACATTGGGGCTATTAGTTCAAATGCACTTTGCATCAGAGACTTTTATACACATGCAGTCCACCTACAAAGTTGAGTTAATATGTACGTGGCTGAACACTTTAAGAGGTTGTAAACCCTTCCATATACCCAGTGAAAAGCCTGGTCTCAGGTGATACACAGAGACTAAACAAATCCTCCTACATGATTTTGACCGGTTTATCTGCAGCTCTCTCTCCTCTACAGCCTTTCAAAGTCCAGAATTTAAACAACTTGCCTGTGCTTTCAGAAAGCAGAGGGTGGGGAGCTGAAGTAACACTCTGCAGAGCTCAATAAGGGGGCTCTGAGAGCTGATTGGAGGAAAGGGACACCCCCCCCCCCATACAGCATACAGGAACAGAGCTGAGGCTGTCAAACACAGGCTGTGTGCTGAAAGTCCCTCCCTGTCTTTTTTCTCTTGGTGTCAGGAAAACTTGTCAGAAGTGACTCATGTAGATAACAGAGGAATGGGGCAGAAGACAGAAATGACACTTAGTGCTCTTGAGACAAGTACACATTATAGGATGATATACTTTGTTCTTATTTCATGTATGGGGTTTGCAAAGCTATGAAGGGATTAACTAAGACCACTTTGAATATCAGATAATATCAGATGATTGTGTCCTGCCAAGAGCAGCTGGAAAAAGAGATGATGGGAATGTACAGTCAGTCCTTTAAAAGATATCTGTCAGCATGGGATATATGCAAATAAATGGAAAATATGGAAACTGCCACAGCTGAATCAATATGAGGGACAGAGGTCAACTTTATCTGACACTGACTGGTCTGTAAGCCATCTGCCAAATAAGTCACAGCTGCCCACTCAGGAAGGTGACTGCAGACGCAACGGATCTGGTGAAGGCTCCAGCAGTGGAAGGAGGTTTGTCAGCTGCTCTGAAGTTTGTAATAGGGGGATAACAGATTCATTTAGACAGAACAGTTCCTAATACAAGCCAGGTCAGGCAGCCAGGTAATCAAAGTTCAGCAAAGGATTTAGAACAGGGGTGTCAAACTGGCGTCCTTCCAGCTGTTGCAAAACTACAAGTCCCATCATGCCAGGGACTGACTGACCATTCGAGAACTGCCCGAGGGCCCGGGGTCAGTAGGGGGCCCCATGAAATGCCCCTGGTGCCTTTTTTATAGGCTTTTTTGAGTGTGGACAAGGACGCAGGGGACCCATGATCCCCTATTGCCCGGGGGCCCCATGAGTTGTCAGTCCGCCCCTGCATCATGCCTTTGCCTTTGGGAGTCATGTTTGTAACTGTCAATCTTGCAATGCCTCATGGGACTTGTAGTTTGGCAACAGCTGGTGGGCCGCCAGTTTGACATCCGTGATTTAGAACCTTAGTCACAGAGTACCTATAATCATACAATAAGTTGAGGTGAATCTCCGATTAAATAAACTCTGTAAGCAACTTAAAAATGACAGGTAAATGCACATAAAAATCCGGTATTTACAATGGTTGCTTCCAGCATTTTTCATTTTTATAAATTATTTTTTTAACCCTGTGGCGTCAGCGCCTCCCAGCCATTTAAGGGGTTTTAGATGCTGGGAGGCGGGCAGGGTTTGTCATCATGTGACCACCGTGATTGGCTGTCACAGGGACCACATGATCGGAAAGCTCCCGATCACAGGTAAAGATCTGGAGCTTTCCGTTAGCCGCTGTTAAAGTGTTACTAAACACACAACAGTAAAATCAGGCAGTATATGCAGGAAAGCATGCTTGGTATACTCACTGTGGAATCTAAGGGGTTAATCCTCTGCATTGTGTAAAAAGGCCCTTTGATCCTCAGTGCTCTGTTCCTCCTCTTGTTCAAGTGACCACCTCTTATCTCCTGATAAGACAGACTGAACTATAGGCATTTTGCACATGCTCAGTTTGGTGTGTATTGCTAGAGAGGTTTTTTTTTTTTTTTTTGGGAGAGAGCACAGGGCCAATCAGCACTGGTCAGACAGAGGTCAGGGGTTTTGCATCCTCCTAGAGCAGAAAGGGAACTCCTCCTACAAGCTTTAGCTAGTGCTCAGCTGGACACTGATAGAATTCACAAGACTGCTCTAACTGGGCAGCTAGAATTATGATGGTCCAGGAGATGGTAACTTGTAAGTGGATACACAGCACAGCACAGTGGCTAAATGGTTAGCACTTCCGCCTGGCAGTACTAGAGTCGTCGGTTCGATTCCCAACCACGGCACCACCTGCCTGCAGTTTACATGTTCTCCCTGTGCCTGCATGGGTTTCCTCCCACACTCCAAAGACATGCTGGTAGGTGAATTGGCTCCTGTCTAAATTGGCCGTAGTATGTGTATGAATGTGAGTTAGGGACCTTAGATTGTACGCCCCTTGAGGGTTAGGGACTGATGTGAATGTACAATATATTTGTAAAAGCGCTGCTTAAATGGACGGCGCTATATAAGTACCATAAATAAATAAACTGCTGATGAGAAAAGGTATTTAGCTTTTTATATTTACTGTAATAATTGCATTTCCATATTCTGTGTACTGTGGGAGATCAGATATAGTGAATGCAGGGTCCTGGGTTTAGTAACACATTAACTGTGTCGGGAGTACGCACGGTGTGTGCTCTCAGCACAGTTCTTTTTTTTTGGGTACGCATATATGCGGCCACATATATGTGTGTGGCCGGCGGGAAAGAGGTAATCACTTCCATTGGACTTGCTAGAAATTTTGATTACTGCAGGAGAGTCATTTCCCTAGCATAGCCCACTTCCTTCTTGTATGTCACAGTCCTCCCCTCTTTCAGAAGTGCCTTATTAATCTCTGTGCTGGTCCAGCTACTCCAGATATTAAGAGTTATTAGAGCACAAGTGTAACAGCCCTGCTGAAGCTGGAATGCCTCTAGTCCAAATTTAGTGTTTGTAGCTAGACTATATCCAGCCTAAGTGCTACTTATGTTAAATGATAAGTTCACCTTTGGGAACATGTTACATGTTTCACCCCTTTTAGGGTGGAATATGTGACATGCTCCCAATGCTGTAGCTGCTGCCTCCCCTCCCTGTGACTGCAGTATAGGGATAAATTCCCCGTGCTAGCTGTCACTTTTTAAAAACAGTGGGGGCGTGCGGGGCTTCGCCTACATGGCCGCATCATTCATTCACAGTGTTCTGTGAATGAATGAACTACAAGTTCTGACAGCCTTAGCAGCAGTCTGCTTTTGGTTCTTAATGAACTACCATGGTGCTGTGGAGCGCTGTGGTAGTTCATTGAATCTTCCTGTCAGTATATCTGTTTCCCATACATCCTGTAGAGGCAAGCAGATATACTACTGAGGGGTCTTCAGGAGATCTGCATGGCACCAGCAATCTGCTGACCACTGGTCCAATGCCTTATGGGGTCCTCCAACCAAAAATAATAAATGCACATTTTTTTACCTTCAAAAAAATGTGCATGTATTATTTTTGGTCAAAAGGTGAACTTATCCTTTAGTTTTCTGCATTTGTTGGGTTTCTCCTAAGTCTAAAGCTGCGGTCTCCAAACTTTCTAAACAAGGGGACAGTTTATTGCCCGTCAGACTTAAGAAACCAGACTGGGGCCAGTGGGAGTGGAAATTTTCCTGGCAACAGTGGGAGTAAATATCACCACATTTGGTATTAGGGGGAGGAATAATGCCCCATTGTTGATGTTAGTGGGAGAAATGGTGCTCCTCTGTTGGTGTTCACAGAATAGTGTATCATATTAGTGGGAGTAATAGTGCCCCAAGGGCCTGATAAAGACAAGCAAAGGGCCACAGTTTGGAGACCACTGGTCTAGAGCATTGTTTGCTTCTGCCTGTCTGCAGATAGAGCTGAAGATAAAGTGTTGTGAATTATGAATATTTATTTCAGGAAGGTTTAATGCCAGTGATGTGGGCTAGGGATGGAATCAAATATTCGGGGAGCCTTTTTAGAAGGGTCTTTGCCTCCCATGCAATGTCTGGCGAGGAAATCCACAGTGAGAAGCCTTCTTACCTCTCATGCCCAATATCTTGGGAGGCCTAATCGGCTTTAGAATCCAGTCCCAGGGAACCGGAAATTAGACTATGCTACGGCAAGAAAGCTAAGAAGGTGGCTAGAAAACGTGGGCACCTTCAGAAAGCTTGCTCAGTCAATTGCTGGTATAAAAGACTCACACTGTGAAATTGCTGGTCTCAGTTTAAAGGTACATCCTTGACCTATGAGAGGGACTGAAGTTATTTTAATCTGAGTAGAGGGATTTTTGCTACTGCTTTAGTATCCTGTAAACCCTCGTCATCTCTCTCCTGCACACTGAGCCAATACAACCTGCAAGCAAAGATTGACCGCATGGATTATGGTCATTTGGTTGCCTAACGGTGGGTCAGTGAGTGCTATGGAGTAACTGTGGCCAGATCACCAGTAGCAAGGCCTGGGGGGGGGGTCTGTCAAACTTCTTCTTAGGGGTTCATTGCTACATGAACTCAAGGCAGGACCTTGCTACTCAAACCTTAAGGTTAAAAGAATATATAGTTGTTCATGGATATACGATTGTCTGATTGTCAAGGCATCATTACAGTTCATGGGAAAATGTCAGATCACCTAGTGAACAATGTAGACCAGTCTGCAACATATGTTTGTGTCACCTCATTCAAGTCAGAGACTTCTGTGAAATGAGATAACGTCAATAATAACTAGAATTACCATATAAATTGAATATACTTGTAGTGGAGGAGATGTGTGTCTTAAACCCCCTGGGCTATAATATCTTAGTTTGTAACTGGAAAATTGTCTTTAATATCCTCCATTAAACATGTCTGCATACAATTAACATTGTTATTTTGAAGATTCTTACTTTCAGTAATTTCACGAATGAGATCATCACTTGAAAGCGCGCTGCCCCACAGTCCTGTGGAATAACCGAAAAATCCACTTGTATTATTCATCAATTTGGTTTGCATAGATGACTACATCAATTTAACAGGCATGGTGTGGAAGCCACTTTAACATTTCCACTGTATTTGTTAAGAAAATAATTTGAGCATACCTATCACAAACCTGTGCAATTCACAGTGATCATATGATGATAAATGTATAGGCTAATGTTGCATTCATTGAAAACTATGTTGGTCAATGGACCCAATTTAATTTGTGAGCAGTTTTTATGTCTTCTAGTAGAAACTTACTTAGGCCCCACGTGTCTTTCCATCTTGGTCAGTGAGGCCATCCACCACAAGAAAGACAATAGAGAAGCTCAGAAGGTGAAGGTGGCGAGGCCAAGCTGTTTGCCTATATGCTATGAGATTTTTATTAGTTAATATTGTAGATAGAGATGAGCGAATTATTCAAAAATTCGATTCGGCTGATTCGCCGAATTTGCGGGAGAAATTCGATTCGATGCGAATTTATTCGCTGCGAATTTAACTTATTAAAAGGGTTTCTAGGCTTCAGAGAGCCTTTATATTAGTGCAGAACAGTGTACCTTTAATTTAAATGCCCTTGGAGTCTGCTGGGGAAGAGAAATAATACTGTCAGTCAGTATGACATGCAGATGAGTGCCGTCGATCTTAGAATCACCGCACACTTCACTCATTTGGGCAGTCACGGGGCACGACGAAGAAGAAGAAGAAGAAGAAGAATGAAAAGAAGAATGAATAGAAGAAGAAGAAGAATGAAAAGAAGAATGAAAAGAAGAAGAAGAAGAATGAAAAGAAGAAGAAGAAGAATGAAAAGAAGAAGAAGAAGAATGAAAAGAAGAATGAAAAGAAGAAGAAGAAGAAAATAAGAAGAAGAAAAGAAAAGAAGAAGAAAAGAAGAAGAATGAAAAGAAGAAAGAAGAATGAAAAGAAAGAAGAAGAATGAAAAGAAGAAGAAGAAGAATGAAAAAGAAGAAGAAGAAGAATGAAAAGAAAATGAAGAAGAAGAAGAATGAAAAGAAGAATGAAAAGAAGAAGAAGAAGAATGAAAAAGAAGAATGAGAAGAATGAAAGAAGAATGAAAAGAATGAAAAGAAGAATGAAAAGAAGAAGAAGAAGAAGAAGAAGAATGAAAAGAAGAAGAAGAAGAAGAAAAGAAGAATGAAAAGAAGAAGAAGAAGAATGAAAAGAAGAATGAAAAGAAGAAGAAGAATGAAAAGAAGAAAAGAAGAAGAAGAAGAATGAAAAGAAGAAGAAGAATGAAAAGAAGAATGAAAAGAAGAATGAAAAGAAGAATGAATGAAAAGAAGAATGAAAAGAATGAAAAGAAGATGAAAAGAAGAATGAAAAGAATGAAAAGAAGAATGAAAAGAAGAAGAAGAAGAATGAAAAGAAGAATGAAAAGAAGAAGAAGAAGAAAAGAAGAAGAAGAAGAAGAAGAAGAAGAAGAAGAAGAAGAAGAAAAGAAGAATGAAGAAGAAGAAAAGAAGAATGAAAAGAAGAATGAAAAGAAGAATGAAAAGAAAAGAAGAATGAAAAGAAGAAAAGAAGAAGAAGAAGAATGAAAAGAAGAATGAAAAATGAAGAATGAGAAGAATGAAAAGAAGAATGAAAAGAAGAAAAGAAGAAGAATGAAAAGAAGAAGAAGAAGAATGAAAAGAAGAATGAAAAGAAAAAGAAGAAGAATGAAAAGAAGAAGAAGAAGAATGAAAAGAAGAAGAAGAAGAAGAAGAAGAAGAATGAAAAGAAGAAGAAGAAGAATGAAAAGAAGAAGAAGAAGAATGAAAAGAAGAAGAAGAATGAAAAGAAGAAGAATCCAGTACAGCAAAAAGTGTATCTGCAGAGAGCTCCGCTATTTCTGACAGTTCTCTGACAGTTCCTTCACATTTACAGCGGTTGAAACATTGTATCTATTTGTTTCCGAATAAAAACATCTGTATCCTAAATGGAAACAAATAGATACAATGTTTCAACCGCTGTAAATGTGAAGGAACTGTCAGAGAACTGTCAGAAATAGCGGAGCTCTCTGCAGTGACACTTTTTGCCGGCTGATCGGGAAAAATTTTGATTCGTGCATCCGAAGTTTGCTAAAATTCGGATTCGGTGCGAATCGAATTTTTCCTAATATTCGAAACGAATTCCACTTCGCCAAGTTCGATTCGCTCATCTCTAATTGTAGACAAGTAATAATAGTTTAACTCAAACCTCCTGAAAGGCCATAAGACAGTGGTGTACCAACACCTGTCATCTGGACAGGAAATTAGGGGAAAAAATGCACTTATGAAAACTCAAAATTTTTAGATTTCTCACTGTCTCAGTGAAAATGGTCACCAGTACAAATAGAGGGAAGAAATTATCCAGAGCAAAGATGAAACTTTTAAAAACTTGACCGAGTCCAACCTTACCCTACTCCATGGGTGTCAAACTGGCGGCCCTACAGCTGTTGCCAAACTACAAGTCCCATGAGGCATTGCAAGATTGACAGGTGCAAGCATGATTCCCAAAGGCAGAGGCATGATGGGACTTGTAATTTGGCAACAGCTGGAGGGCCACCAGTTTGTCACCCCTGCCCTACTCTATCTAAAACTAAAAGAAAGCCTGTACATACACTCTGATTTTTCACGAAGGTGCGGATCAAGATGTAACCCAGAATGGTATTAACTTGTATGAAAAGTCTCAAACGACAAAGTCAAACGTTCTCTCATGTATAGGATTTCTGGCTCACAGCCATCAAGCATGCTTCTTGGGATAGACCTGGTATATTGCCCCATATTGAGCTGTCTTTCACATCTCAATCCTGATTTTCAGGTCATCAACATTGGTGGCCATCGCTTTGCACTCATACACAGCCCTATCAGTACCAACCAGAAGGTGATCTTGTTGATGGTGCATTTGGGCGGGGCCCCTTCAGGAAGCGTTTGGGCGGCATTTTTCATCCACTGGTCTCAGCTTTTTCTTTATTAATTTTTGTTTCATCGTTTTTGCCTGAGATATATGAGAAATCCGTGGCTGTGTTCACATAACAATTTGTTTTTAATATTACCTGGTGGTTTTTACCTCACATGGAATCAGACGTCATGCCTTCTTGAGTACTTCTGAAGAAGAGATTTTTGTTGATCTCGAAACGTGTCAAGTGCGAACCATGCATGATCCATGATTAGATTTGCAATACCATCTCTGGTGACACTGCCACAATATGTATTGTAGCTTTATATTTATTTTTGAAGATTATAAAAATAAAATCTCATACTGTTTTTATAAAAAATCTCTTTTGAATTGTTGAAATTTATCATACAATTAAATTGTGCCGTTAAAGTCCCACCAAAAAAGAGGACTTTCTCCATCTTGTATTCGTTAGGGATGTTGGCACTTTGTGTATTATATCCCTTCCTCTCTCTTTTCATGTATAGGGTTTCTATGTTCGTTGCCTTCTTCTTCTGGGCCGTTCTTTGATTCTGATCATGCATTTTGCTTGCACATTTTTTTTGTTTTTTTTTTTGTCTGAACAGTCAGAATCGTCTGTCAAAAGCATTATACTAATGCTTAATCAGATAATTGATGCTTAATCAGATATTAATGCTAATCAGATAATTGACCAATGTTGTGGGTTGCCTTAGCTCAAGAATTGTCTGTCAAAAGCACTATACTAACGATCAGATAATTGACTGATCGTTCCTTGTACATAATTTTTCTTCCAATCTTCTTATAGTGTGTACCTAGCTTTACAGTGACATAGTTTTGATTGGAGCTCACACCTGAGTATGCTCCATTTTTGTTGTTGTGGGTTGCCTTATCTCAAGCAGTCAGCACTTCATATATGTGTGCAAATCCTTTATGTGTTTAAATTCCTGGCAAGATTTTTTTTTACATCAAAAATTTTATTTGTTAAAGCTGTAAATTGTTACAGAGAACTTGCTCTAACATAAGGCAGGAGTACCCCCCTGAAAGTGCTGAATGTATTCCTATGGGGAACACATAAAAGTTTAGAGTCAGTGGCATAGGGTAGAAATGCAAATTCCTGTATCAACCAATGGTACTTTTGCTTTCCGTGCCAAAATTGTCCCGTGACACCTAACTTGCTGCTCGTTAACTGCGCATGTACTGCATATTGTTTTTTTTTCTGCTGTATTAGTTAACAATGTATATTCCAGCTTACCATTAAGATACGACAAGTCCTTCTCAGGCTGTTTCTTCAATAAACGTCCTGCTTCAAACTTACTGCCTAAAAACTCAGTCTTCACAAAACATTTGTAAGCAGGAAATCCACACAAGTGTGGGGTAAACTCAAACCAAGTTCCTGAAATGAGAATATTTCCTTCAGTTATTGTTCATTCAGAGATTTATTATTTAATACAATTGTTGTTTTTCACCGTTCAAACTTACTACTTGATAGGGAGAAAATGCTGAATTTCATTTGAAAGGTTTTACCCTCTTTAATTTCAATGATAGTAGCTAAAGACAACCTATACCAACTAACCTAAGATTGTGTACCTTTAGGCATGATGTGATGCAAGATTATCATGGGGTCCAGGGGCGGACTGACTAATCATGGGGCCCCCGGGCAATAGGGGATCATGGGGCCCCTGTGTCCTTGCCCAAACTCAAAAAAGCCTATGAAAAAGGTACCAGGGGATCTCATGGGGCCCCCTACTGACCCCGGGCCCTCGGGCAGTGCCCGACTTTCCAAATGGTCAGTCCGCCCCTGATGGGGGCTCTATGTACCTGGAGCCCCTGGCCAGTGCCCAGGGATACCCATGCATTAAGACAGCCCTGATGGAACCAGGAGGGCGAATATCTTTCTATGGTTGAAGGTCCTTTTTAAAGTACAATATAACTAAAGGCAATTATTTTTGACAGATTTGTGATGGATTGGGACACCTATTAGGTTTTTATTGCAGTCTGTGCCCCCGTTAGGGAAATTCACCCTCCCCATTTGTCCTGTTTTCCATTATACTCAAGCATGAAAGTAAAAGAAAACTCCAAATTTTGGATTGTCCCCAGAAAAATAATAAAGGGGACATTTTTCAATGGGGCCCCAAGGAATTCCCTTAATTTGCAGGGATTTTCCTATACTTCCTGCTTTGGCTATGAAAGAGGAAGTGAAGATAAATCTCTCCAACGGGACACAGATGGCAAAAAAAAAAAAACTGCCAGGGGTTACAACCCTCCCTTACTCTACTCAAAATGAACAAAAAAAAAGTTTTAACTATAGTTCCTCTTTAACTGCAGCAGAGAAAAGTCAGCTCACCAGCTAGTTGTGCTGTGTGACAGGTCTGTGAACATTTCAGGATTGGACAGATAGAAATATACATTTTAGAGCTAGGATTTAACTAATTGCCTGAAGTTCAGTTTCAACATCTTTGGCTGCTTTTATTCTTTACTAGCAATTTATATTTGGCACAATCACCTTCTGCTTTTTCAATAGCAGAGTAGATTGGATATGGGTTTACCCCATTCTCGCACCCATCCTTGTGATTCGACAGATTTCTTTCATGTATCTGGAGGAAGAGAGACATACATGATACAAAAATAACTGTCTATAACAAGCACGTATATTGTAGTGTCTTTGTTAGGTTATATTGCTTTTATTTAAAAGGTTGAAAAAAATTATAACAGGTCATTCCAGGAAATGATATAACCATTAAGGATAACTCCGAAGAAGAACATGAAGCACACAGCACAAGTCATGAGTGTTGAGTGAAGCTAACAAACTTATAAATACGTACAAAAAATAGGTAATAGATGAATGTCACCATCAGAAAAGTCATTACAAAACAAGACGTGATAAGGCAAGACTCAGGCCAAATGTACTGTAGATGATAGCTAAAAGTGGCAGGAATGAACTAGAATGTCATTGGGCACATAACTTACAGCAAGAACAAAGAGATCGGATGGTTGTCAAACATATAGCTACCATCCAACCATGACAAAATCTACCTCATCCAAGATTACCACCCATGCAAATGTCACCTATATATGCATGTATACAGTGAAGGAAATAAGTATTTGATCCCCTGCTGATTTGAATGTTTGCCCACTCACAAAGAAATGATCAGTTTAAAAATCGAATGGTAGGTGTATTGTAACACTGAGAGACAGAATAGCAACAAAAAATTCAAAAGAAATGCATGTCTAACAAATTATGCACTGATTTGCATGTTCATGTTGGAAATAAGTATTTGATCCCCTTCAAAAAACATGACTTAGTACTTGGTGGCAAATCCCTTGTTGGAAATCACAGAGGTCAGACGTTTCCTGTATTTGGCCACCAGGTTTGCACACATCTCAGGAGGGATTTTGTCCCACTCCTCTTGGCAGATCCTCTCCAAGTCATTAAGGTTTGGTGGCTGACGTTTGGCAACTCAAACGTTCAGCTCCCTCCACAGATTTTCAATCAGATCAAGGTCTGTAGACTGGCTAGGCCACTCCAGGACCTTAATGTGCTTCTTCTTGAGCCACTCCTTTTTTTGCCTTGGCCGTGTGTTTTGGGTCATTGTCATGCTGGAACACCCATTCACGACCCATGTTCAATGCCCTGGCTAAGGGAAGAAGGTTCTCACCCAAGATTTGACGGTACATTGCCCTGTCTATCATCTCATTGATGCGGTGCAGTTGTCCTGTCCCCTTAGCAGAAAAAAACCCCCAAAGCAGAATGTTTCCACCACCATGTTTGACAGTTGGGATGGTGTTCTTGGGGTCATAGGCAGCATTCCTCCTCTTCCAAACACGGTGAGTCGAGTTGATGCCAAAGAGCTCGATTTTGGTCTCATCTGACCACAACACTTTCAACCAGTCCTCTTCTGCATCATTCAGATGTTCAGTGGCAAACTTCAGACGGGCCCGGACATGTACTTTCTTGAGCAGAAGGACCTTGCAGGCACTGCAGGATTTCAGTCCTTGTCGGTGTAGTGTGTTACCAATTGTTTTCTTGGTGACTGTGGTCCCTGCTGCCTGGAGATCATTAACAAGATCCTCACATGTAGTTCTGGGATGATTCCTCACTGTTTTCATGATCATTGACACTCCACGAGGTGAGATCTTGTTACAATACACCTACCATTCAATTTTTAGACTGATCACTTCTTTGTGAGTGGGCAAACATTCAAAATCAGCAGGGGATCAAATACCTATTTCCTTCACTGTATGTCAATGGAAAAGTAAGAAGGGACAGTGGATGACATACCTACCCTTGTATCAACTTAAAATGCAGGAAAACAATAGTTATATATTGAAAATCCAACAGAGCTGATCCTTCTCCTCAGGGCAATCAGCCAGGGGAAGTCTAGAGAGGTTGGGGAGTACCCATAGACATACAATTGTCTCTCTATCTGACTACAAGAAATCAAACTGGCTGATAATCTTCTAATGTCTCTGGACCCCCTTTGAGATGTACTGAGGGGTTGCTGACTTTGCTTACACCTCATAGGGAACCGTAAGCAGATTATAAAGCAAATGAGAGAGGTAATCATAATCAAAGAAAAAAGGGTTCCTTCTCTAGCAGCCAACAGACCAATAAGAAGCTCACTTACATATCTTTCTGTTGGAATACAGTGTTCATGTATTTTGTGCAACAACTATATCAGTATTCAGTAGAGATATATTCTTCAACCAGTAGATGGCAGTGTTTATAAGTTTGTAGTTGCATCTATGGTAAACTCTATGTCTTTTCTCTGTAGAAAGTTTCCTGTTTCCTTGTTGCAGTGAAGAAAAAAAGTTCATGCGGACTGTGCACTGTCTGTTCTGTAGATCTATATACAGAATTTCTAACACTTTAATACTGCTCCTAGGTCATGCATCTTTCTCATCCCACATGGGTGCCAGCAAATGTCATCACTTCCCATCATAACATATGCATATAACACTTGAAGCCACGAACAACTTTCTCCCTCTGCCTGAACAACTTTATTACAACACTGACAGAAACACTACATCCATGTCCTCCCACTAACACATTACCCCCCACAATACTATAGCATAAAGCGGAGCTCCACCCAAAAGGGGAAGTTCCACTTTAAGGACTCATCCCCCGCTACCCATTAAGGATTGGCACCTTTGGGGGGTGGGGGAGAGTGGGTATCCGAATTTGACAGGTACCCGCTCCCACTTCCAGTCTGATCGCCTAGGTGACCTGAAGCAGAAAGTGTCCTCCCTCCCTCCCTGTAGTCTTTTGGGACACGTGACAGGTCCCAGAAGACTACAGGACCATTCATGAAGCGCAGCACTACTCACGTATGCGCAGTGGGTACCTGACTGTGAAGCCGCAAGCTATCACAGCCGGGTGCCTACGTTGAAGATGGCGGCCTCCAGGAATTCAGGACTGCCGGTGAAGCAGGCTGTGGGGGACACACCGCGGGACAGGGGGACAGATAAGTGGCTGTTTTTTAAAAGTCAGCAGCTAGTTTTTGTAGCTGCTGACTTTTATTTTTTGACAGGGTGAGTGGAACTCCACTTGAAGCAAAGCAATCTACGATTATGCCCCATTAGGGGGCGAATTGCGTCAAAACAGTTTAATGTTTTTAATACTAGACTAATGATCAGCTATGCAAATTTAATCATCATTCTGGGTACATTATGACTTGTACTTACTTCATTAGTCATCCAGTAAACAACCACATAGGCCCACAAATCAGTCAGTGAGTGTATTTCTTCCAAAAATGCTTTCTCTAACTTCTCCCATGACTTGTCCCAGTCCCATGTAGATTGAAGCCGACCATATAACTGCCTCTCCATTTCTTCCATGCATGAAAAGTCTGACCACTTTTCATTGTTATATAATGATGCCATACACCTAAAAGGTTTAAAGTTATTAAATGTTTGATATTTTTAACCATTATACAATGTATATTTTTATTTGGTTTAATGGGTTTGGCTTTAAGCTCAACCTGTGAGGACAGAAATATATAAGTAGGCACTGCTGACTTGTTTCTAAAGATGCAGATTACAGGGATAAACCTGGTTTCACTTTCATCTAAACTCTAACTGTGGTAGTATTTTCAGTTCAATGGTATAGTGAAAGTGGAATCAGGATGACAGCCTGGGATCTGGCACCCTTTTAAAACAAAGTCAGTAATGGTAGTGCCCATATTTCTATTGGCAAAGGTTGCTTTTAAAGTAAACCTTAGTGTACTGAAAAATAAGATTGCAGGTTAACAGTAAGAAACATATCATATGGTCATCAGTAAGACTTCTCAGAGCACATCCAAAGCTTCCTAGAAAACCTGAACAGCCCTCCTATTTTCCATAATACTTTCCTGATTGGGGGGGCGTATTCTTCAAAAAGTTGACATTTGCATAAGAACTCTAGAAATCTCAGCACCATGATGTCCCTTACCACAACATAAATGTATGATTCTTCACCCTATGGGGCCTACTCTTAAGCTATAATTTTAGTATTCAAACTTTTTAATTCTGCAGGCTTACTTTTAAATTGTTCTCCTTTTCTCTAAGTTTCTTATGGCACCTGGAAATAGATGTGGCAAGATTTTTGGTGCAGGACCTGCTTGTTCTTTATGCAGCTACTTGCAATGCAGGAAATAAGGGCAATAAGTATGCAGCAGTAGTGTGTTAGGGGTCAATTGCTAAAGTGATATTAAAGCCTAATTTCTCAAATATAAAATTCACCTGACCTTCTGCCTTTTGTTGCCTTTTGCTGTTGAAAAATGTTTCTTCCAAACTGCTTCAGTTGGTTTTCCAGCCCTAGTCATGATATTCTGATTCAGGGTGTCTCTTTTTCCTTGATGGGCTCTATGGAGACATCCTTGCATGAATGCTTCCATTCAAACACACAGTCCATGTAAGTCATCCTCTCCTTCTCCCTTCTCAAAGCTGTAAATTCATAGATTCTGTGCTGAGGGACCAGAGCACTGTGTTGAGGACTAGGTAAGTGTTTTGGTGCCCACATGCCATGCATGTTTAGTAATGGGGGTGTTTAGCACCAGAGCAGAGCAGAGAGCCAATGACTGACTGTCACCAGCTCTCTGCTCACTGAAGACTGAGAACTGAGCGATCAGTTCTTTTAATGCCGGTGGGGGACAGATGCAGCATCAGACTAATGCTACACCCACCTAGGTGAGTATAATTTTTTTTTTAGCCCATATTTCTCTTTTAAGCCACTACCTCACAAATAGCAGCGACTTAGAACTGAGCGATCAGCTGTCTTTGAATGCTCCGTTTTCAGTCTTAAATGCCTGTGGGGAACAGATGCAGCATCAGACCAATGTTGCACCCACCTAGGTGAGTATAATTTTTTTTTAGCCCATATTTCTCTTTTAAGCCACTACCTCACAAATAGCAGCGACTTAGAACTGAGCGATCAGCTGTCTTTGAATGCTCCGTTTTCAGTCTTAAATGCCTGTGGGGAACAGATGCAGCATCAGACCAATGTTGCACCCACCTAGGTGAGTATACTTTTTTTTTTAGCCCATATTTCTCTTTTAAGCCACTACCTCACAAATAGCAGCAACTTAGAACTGAGTGATCAGCTGTCTTTGAATGCTCCGTTTTCAGTCTTAAATGCCTGTGGGGAACAGATGCAACATCAGACCAATGTTGCACCCACCTAGGTGAGTATAATTTTTTTTTAGCCCATATTTCTCTTTTAAATAAGCCACTACCTCACAAATAGCAGCAACTGAGAACTGAGCGATCAGCCTGTCAGCCTGTTTTTTAAGCTCTTTCAGTTGGCCATTGCGTTGCCTATGCAACAGACAAGATAATCAGCTTGATGAACAATGGAAAGAGCATACATGGCAGGGTAACGACACTGCTACTAATTACAAGGCAGTAGCTTAATGTGTTCAGCTTGCAACAGGAAGTGCTGTACCTGGTTCCCCAGGTAAAAAAAGTTTGAAACAGGCTTCATTTTATTTGAAAACAATATACAGGGAGACATGATTTTCAACTATTCTGAAAAATAGACCCTAGGTTTACATACATATTAAGGGTAAGGTTACTCAGGTTACATTTTGCATGTGTTGAGTTAGGAGGATGCTTTATCATATGGGATATATATATATATATATATATTTTTTTTTTTTTTTAAGGAGTTTTTATTTGTTTTCAATGCAAGCCCCTTACTAAAAACTTTCTTGCTGAAAGTTCAACAAATACTAGGTAGGTGCAATGGATGTACATACCAAGTTGATCCAGATGTTCCACTGACATATGTAACAACATCTAAAAGCTTCAGTTCAGACAGCTTAGAAAGGGTACCCAGAAAAGCAATCATTGCACGGAGTCCACCTCCAGACCCCAGAACTGCAATTACGGGGGGATCCAAATTCTATAGCAAAACAAAGATAAAGAACCTCAGTACAGGCTGGTCTATAATAATACACCAAAGCAACAGAAAGTACAAATAGCTCGAGGCAGTTGTTTACATTATGACCTTAGCTTTCGTAAAGGTGAATTATCATGCAGGTCGTTGTAGGACTTTCGGACCTTTACTATATAATATAGGATTCCCTAGATTGGCTCTTCTGCAGTACCTTCTTGTCTGTCTTTATGACTACAGCTCACTTTCTTGGAGGAATTTTTATTCCTAGAGACTATTATATGCCTACATTCTAGTTGTACAGTTGTTTGAGGGTGGTGGTGGTGGTGGGGGGGGGGGTTCTCAAAAAAGACCTCCTCTTATGGCTAAACAAGAGAACCAGTTAGGGATGGTTTTATCTGTGGAGGAATGGAAGAAATGATTCTTGTTGCCTCATCCTCTTTCGATATCATCTTATTTCCAAAAAAAAATAGGTAAAAGTAATGTAAAAAGAACATATGTTATGGTATTTGTAGGCCACTAGAGTGGTAATCTCACATCATGCAAAGGACACAACACCTTTATTAGCAGAGTGGGTGGATGTCTTCAATATTGCAATGGCTATGGAGTTACTTGTGGCCTTGGTCAAAAGAAGGACACAACGGGTGCATTCAACCTGGTCCTTTTGGGGGACCCACAGGAGTCTAGGAGACTGACAACTTATTTGAGCATAATCTCTATAGGTGGAGTTCCTTCTGTGGGATGCTGCAGTATTTTGGTAATTTACTAATGCCTATAGATAGAGAAGGTGCATTAATAAATCTTAGATTTCTGGAATTGTGAACAAGTTGGAGGATATTTAAGGGAAGTTTAGTACTGACCAAGGATATTGTACTTATTAACTTAAACAACATTTCCCCTCCTTTTCTTTTTCTTTCTGTTTTATCTCATTTTTTTATACAAATAATTGTTTTCTATGGTATTTAGTATTGCTTGTTGAATGTAATGTATGTATAAAATGTTAATAGAATATATATTCAACTAGAATATGAAAACGTATATAAAACCTGTTTAGGGAAAAGTCTGTTGAGATTTTGATTGATCGAAATGATGGTAGACAATAGAATATAATTCTTTGTGTTAGTTACATTTTTAATTTATTCCTTACTGCAAAACATTAGGCATATACAGAAAGATTAGGCACATTTTTACAATTGGATCTGTAGATTTGTGGGTATCTGAGAATTGCAGGCAGACTGGTTTACCTCTCCCAAACTCCCCTTTTTTGGAAAGAAAGTACTTAATTATTTACAGTTACCTTACAGAAAAAAATGTAAAAAAAATTAAAAGCAACAGTACATAAAAATGCCACACAAACACAAAGAACACTAAACTACCTTAAAGAGTAACTCCACTTTTGTTGAGAAAAAAAACTTTCTCCTCTGGGGGATCTATGTACTTTGCAAGGATTTTAACAAACTTTGTTGCAGCGTCCATGTGCAAAGTTAATGTGAATGGGAGTAATTTTATAATTAACAATCAGCTGATGCTCATGCAGGTTTCTAATGAGAAACGTTGTGGGATCTGCAACCCTTTAGACTTGATTTCCCTTTGGGAGTATCTCTCCAAAAACAAAATTTGTTTTGAAGGGGATGACCAAACGCTGACTTGTATCTTGATGCAGACATCTGGGAAAATCAGTAAGCCAATCACACAAGCAAGACATAACATTTCTGGGGGGTGGTCTCAGAGGCATATTTACAAGGTAAACAAGGCACTTTCCTAGGGTGGCATCTTTCAGGGGGCAGCACCTCTCCCCCGAAGAAGGGATGAAATAAGGGACACGCACGCCATAGGAACCAGGTGGGATCCGAGAGAGGCTGCAGGCTGTTTGGTGGTGTATGCAGAGCCTGACTCTTGTTCCCGGGGATGTCTGAAGCTGTGAAGATGAGTGTCTTTTTCTCTATCACCGGGGGGTGGAGGCTCTCCCAGGTGGGGGGCAAGGGTGTTGTTGGCCAATGGCAGGCTCTCTGCACGTGAGGTGGAAGGGGGGTGGTGTTGGTCGGTGTCCGTGGGGGCAGATGATTTTTGTGTTGCCTAGGACAGCACAAAACCTCAATACTCCACTGGGTGGTCTGTACACCATTTGTGTACAGAAGGCCTCCAGGTTGCCATATTGCATTACATTTACCAGAAAAAAAACAGCACTGCAATTACAATACAACATATGCCACAACTGTATATATTTTTTTGTATATATTTTTTTTTTGTTATTTGTTTTGGGTTTTTTTTGTGATTCTTTTCCCACGAAAGTGGAGTTGCCCTTTAATTACATAGGGATTTTCATATTGGACACCTTCACTGTGTTTTTTTTATCTGTAAAAATAAATTTTGTTGTTTTTTTTAATTGCTTGTAAAATAATTTGTGGTTTTCGTTTGTGGGTGTACCAATAATATATTCCCAATTCTCGATACAATGTTTCTAAAGAAAAAAAAGCAGAGAATGAGTAGACAAAACAAATTTCACATATGTGAGTCAATAAATGAAATTCAGAGTCTCCTATTTCCATTTTATGATGTGACTTCATAAGAAATGATGTTGAAATCACTTGGTTCATCCCCACTGATGTAGACACTTACCTCTGCAGAATTCATGCCCTGGGATAAAAGGCTCTTAGCTACTATTCTCTTCCTAGCTTGGACAGATAATTTTTCCCCTTCTGATCTGTTTAGGGTAAATGTAGAGTCATGTAAAAAAATACAGTATTACAAGCAAAGGTTTTGTAGCTTTTCCCAGCAAAGCATACTTTATTTCATGCAAGGACATTATTTTCTTTATTGATACAATTTTCAATGACTTTACTGAAGCAAGAAAAATGTAAATAGGTATTTGTAGAGATTGAATCACTCATAGAGGACCTACATTCAAGTATATATTTTTTCATATGAAAGTGCACTCAAAAGTATTTCTAATCTCTCACACTATTCACAATTCTTGACAATACTTTTATCTGCTTTTCTTTCTAGAAGGCCAGCACCATCTTTGTTATGGCATCATCCAGCATCTACATAACTCATCTTATAAACATCTCATAAATTACTCAAGCATGTATATCTCTGTGCTTGAGCAGAAGCCTTTGTGTTCTTGGTTGTGTACTAATGTCTTATGTAGATCAGCCCCTACTGCTGCCTATAGTCTTGTGAATAACCATAAAGTTACACTGTATGCAGGGTTGCTGTTAGAAACCATGGGGACCCATACAGCCAACCTGACAGGGACCCCCCTCACAAAAAAAACCAGTTTACTAGGCTTCAGTTATGAATGAACACTGTGAGTGATTGGTACCAATCACTTCTTGTGTTCATTCAGAAAAGGAAGGGGCTGGCAAATGAGGCATATTTAGAGGACCCTTCCCCAACTCTCCATCCTGAACGATCCTATTGTGGCCTTGCAGCTGCTTGTGGGAAGGAGGGGAGGAAAGCTGGTAGCACTGCGCGAGTGGGGCCACACAGGGGGGCCTGGGCAGCAGGAGGAAATGTATGATGCACAGGGAGGGTGATGGGTGCACCAGGGGGCAGTTACTGGAACCGATCCCCTGTATGGCTCCCACTGCAGCAGCCGAAAGACAGCAGCAGGGAGAGAGAAGAAGTCAGCTTTCAGCTGCTGCGGAGAGAGCCATACAGGGGATCGTTCCAGTAATTGCCCCCCCCTCCATGCTAATCACCCTCCCTGCCTACACTTGATTCACCCAGCTGCCTGGGTGAATCCCCTGCTGGCCTGGGCCCTGTACAGGAGGACTTGTGGCACTCCTTTATCTACAGCCCTGACTTTTCGGCCTAAATGATCACTGATGGGAATGGGAAACTGAGAAAAGGTTTCCTTACACCTAATGCAGAATTATGATATTCTCCAGTTTTCACCTCTCAGGTAGGCATTGAGAGTTTCTGCTTAGTTTACCTACCACAATGCAGAATTACAGTATGTCAGTATGATCATTGACTTCTGCACAAACAAGCCCTAGCATTTGTATGAGTGTGAGCTCCCTAGTGGGACACTGACTGATGTGAATGGATTTGTGAGGCCTATTTAAAAAAAAACTGGTACCATGACATTTTTGCACCATTTTCTCAAATACCACTTTTGCGAGTGTATTCACAAACCACTTTCCATCATATTTATAAAATTTGAGTGATTAGAGAGGCACGTCCGATGTCCAAAATAAGTCTCACTTGATGAGTTTTATAGTTGTTTAATGAAGATAAAAGTAAACAAGTAGAGCCAACGCGTTTCAGGGGCCTTGCCTCCCCCTTCATCAGGGCTGTATTTCTTGGAGAATGGCTAGACTCTGAGAGGGTTAAGTATATTTGATCGGCGGCTCTGCAGTGTGCCGGCATTGTCAGCAGCTTCTGTCAGTGCAGAATATACAGAATTTCACCCTCTCCCAGCCTGCTGCATGAAGAGGATGAAGGCTGTGACTGCTTCACCTCCCATCCTACCATCATCCCAGCCCCACATTCTGCCTCTTGTCCTATCACCTGTTTCTGCCCAGCCCTACACTCTGCCTCCTGTCCTATCACCTGTGTTCACCCAGCCCCACATTCTTCCTTTTGTCCTATCACCTGTTTCCGTCCAGCCCTACACTCTGCCTCCTGTCCTATCACCTGTGTCTGCCCAGACCCACATTCTGCCTCCTCTCCTATCACCTGTGTCCGCCCAGACCCACGCTCTGCCTCCTGTCCTATCACCTGAGTCCAACCAGCCCCATACTCTGCCTCCTGTCTTATCACCTGTGTCCACACAGACTGACTCTCTGCCTCCTGTCCTATCACCTGAGTCCATCCAGCCCCACACTCTGCCTCCTGTCTTATCACCTGTGTCCGCACAGACCCACACTCTGCCTCCTGTCCTATCACCTGTGTCCGCACAGACCCACACTCTGCCTCCTCTCCTATCACCTGTGTCCATCCAGCCCCACACTCTGCCTCCTGTCTTATCACCTGTGTCCGCACAGACTGACACTCTGCCTCCTGTCTTATCACCTGTGTCCGCACAGACCCACACTCTGCCTCCTGTCCTATCACCTGAGTCCATCCAGCCCCATACTCTGCCTCCTGTCTTATCACCTGTGTCCACACAGACTGACTCTCTGCCTCCTGTCCTATCACCTGAGTCCATCCAGCCCCACACTCTGCCTCCTGTCTTATCACCTGTGTCCGCACAGACCCACACTCTGCCTCCTCTCCCATCACCTGTGTCCATCCAGCCCCACACTCTGCCTCCTGTCTTATCACCTGTGTCCGCACAGACTGACACTCTGCCTTCTGTCTTATCACCTGTGTCCGCACAGACCCACACTCTGCCTCCTGTCCTATCACCTGTGACTGCCCAGACCACACTCTGCCTCTTGTCCTATCACCTGTGTCCGCACAGACTGACACTCTGCCTCCTGTCTTATCACCTGTGTCCGCACAGACCCACACTCTGCCTCCTGTCCTATCACCTGTTGTTATGATCCGCCAGGTGGTGCCTCAGGCTGCCAACTGACAGACCTACTCAGAGCGTGGGGTCTAAGCCCGGGCTGTGCTTTCACCAGGGCCCCTGATGGTGGGGATGGACTTGAAACAGTCCCGGGCCAGGTCACGACCTCCGAGCAGGCCCACCAGTGGCTGAGGAGACCTCCGGCGACGTATGCAGGTACCGGGAGAGCCAGATGTGAAGAGGATGGCGGCCCCGGCAGGGTAGTAACGGATCGTGGGCCCGTGAGGGTAAGTGGGGTACAGAATCGGTGGGCAAAGAGTAGTCGGGTCACACGCAGGATCAGCAGGGTAAGTCAGTCCGTAGAATGGTCAGGGCAATCCGGGTCAATCACAGGAGCAGGCAGAGTAGTCAGGACAATCCGGGTCAATCACAGGAGCAGGCAGCGTAGTCAGGGCAATCCGGGTCAATCACAGGGGCAGGCAGCGTAGTCAGGGTCAATCAGGGTCACTAGACGGGTGCAGGAACTCAGAATCACAGAAAGACCTTGCGGCAATCTGTGACAGTGCAGGGCATCTTTAAATAGTGCGCCCTGCACTGTCATTGGCCGGCTAGGACGCGCCCCCGGCTGTCATTGGACGCCTGAGGCGCGCCCCGCGGCTCCTACTGCGCATGCGCGGCATCCTGTCAGCCGCGGCTCACCGGGACCTAGTGCCTGTGATCTGCCGCCAGTGCGCATGCGCGGGGGGACGGCGCAGCGATCCGGGACTACGGAGCCACGATCCCTGACACCTGTGTCCATCCAGCCAGACACTCTGCCTCCTGTCCTATCACCTGTGACTGCCCAGACCCACACTCTGCCTCTTGTCCTATCACCTGTGTCCACCCAGACCCAAGCTCTGCCTCCTGTCCTATCACCTGTGTCTGCACAGACCCATGCTCTACCTCCTGTCCTATCACCTGTGTCCACCCAGACCCACACTCTGCCTCCTGTCCTATCACATGTGTCTGCCCAGACCCACACTCTGCCTCTTGTCCTATCACCTGTTTCTGCCCAGACCCACACTCTGCCTTCTGTCCTATCACCTGTGTCTGCCCAGACCCACACTCTGCTTCCTGTCCTATCACCTGTGTCCACTCCAACTAGCACACCAACCGTGCCTGCAATGAAATAATCTAACATATGCACTGTGCCTGTGATAGGGATCTATGTGTGCAGGGCAGTAGATTTAATTGGATGCAGCTGATCCTGGCTGCTAATTGCCATTGCCTGAGTCTCAGAGAGACCAGCCTGGGAGGGCTTTGGTACCCAAACACTCTCCCTCTCTTTTTTCCCTGCCCCTTCTCACTCCCTATCCCCCCACCCCTTTCCCTCTTCTATCCCTCTCCGTTCTCCTCCACTCTCTCTCTCCTTCCCCACCTCCACTCTCTTCCCCTTCCTCCACCCTTCCCTAATGCCCCCTTTCACCCCCTTCTTTCCCCTCTCTCCTCAATTCTCTCCCATCTCCCCCCCTCACCTCCCTACCTCCCATCTCCCTATCTCCCCCCTTTCTTTCCTCCAACTACCTCTCTCCCTCGCCTCTCTTTTCCCCATCCTCTCCCACTCTACCTTCTCTCCCTCCTCTCTCTCTCTTACCCTCTAACCTTTTTGTGTGCACAAAAACATGTACAATTGAAATGTATTTTTTTTTTTTAATATCCATTGTCCTGAAGTTTATGCATGTATGTGAAAGTGTCACTTGTGACACAGAAATTAGGAGTATTTTGTATATTTAGGGACTGTGGCATAGACTAGGCTTAGGTTCTATTTAACCCTTTCGTTGCCAGGTCCATACATAGTTACATAGTTGGTCTGGCTGAAAAAAGACAAAAGTCCATCCAGTTCAACCATTAAAAAAAAAAAAAAAAAAGTTATAATCCTGCACCCACAGTTGATCCAGAGGAAGTTAAAAAAACCCAGCAAGTATGATCCAATTTGCTCCTGCAGGGGAAAAAAAAAAATTCCTTCCTGATCGGATATCGGATCGGATATTTCCTGGATCAACTTTACCTATTTACCCCCTTGTCCTCTGTGATGACCTCAGGGTGAATAACTCTACACCGAGTTCACTATATGAACCACTGATGTATTTATACATGTTGATCATATCCCCCCTTAATCTCCTCTTCTCAACAGAGAATACATTCAGTTCCTCTAATCTTTCCTCTTAGCTGAGCTCCTCCATGCCTCTAATCAGTTTGGTTGCCCTTCTCTGTACTTTCTCCAGTTCCCCAATGTTCTTTTTGTGAATTGGTGCCCAAAACTGAACTGCGTATTCCAGATGAGGTCTTATTAATGATTTGTACCGGGGTAATATGATATCTCTCTCTGGAGTCTATACCTCTTTTAATACAAGAGAGGATTTTGCTCGCTTTAGAAACGCAGCTTGGCATTGCATGCCATTATTAAGCTTGTGATCTACCAGAACCCCCAGATCCTTCTCCACCATTGATTCCCCCAGTTGTACCCCCCTAGTATGTATGATGTATGCATATTCTTATATTTCCATATGTTTATTAAGGATTTTTAGAAACATACAGAAAGACAGGAAATGCAACCCACCAACATGACAAGTTGTAGAACATCAAGCAATGAAACAGTATATTCAAGTACAATGTGTAGCAACACAACAACAAAATCGACCAATGAAGCGTAATGAGAGGAATACACTGGTAGCACATTAAGATTTTGATTGATTATGAGCAAATTGCATCATGTACAGAGTGGTACAAATAATATCATTAAAATAGTAGACAAACGTAGAGAGAACAAAAAGTGAGTAAAGAACTGAGGAAGAAAAGTAAAGAATAAAACCCTGAAAAGAAATAAGAGAGAGGGCCAGCCAAGAGTCTGTTAAATAACAGAAATATACCGAATCCATGGGTTCCAAGTGCTCTCAAATTTAGAAGTATTGTTAAGTATACTAGTAAGTTTATCATTAATCACAATCCAATTAAGTTTCTGTTTGACTAAGTCCAGCGAGATTGCTGACTGTTTCCAATGTTTGGTTATCGTAACTCTTGCCGCCAACAGGATATAAAGAATCAATTTAACCGATTTCTTGGGAATATCAGTAGGCAATAAATGAAATAGAGCTATTTCAGGGGATCTACGAATATTAACCCCCATTACCGAGTAAAGGAAATTAAATAAACGGATCCAAAACCTAGTCACCACAGGGCATTTCCACCATATATGGAGCATAGTACCCTCCTGTCCACAATGTCGAAAACAGCTGGGTGACACAGAAGGGTACATTTTAGCAAGACGTGTAGGGACCAAATACCACCAAAGAAGCGTTTTGTAGTTAGATTCAATGAGTATAGTGTTAATTGAGATTTATATAAAGCATTAGCCGTATTCCGCCAAGTGTCTAACTCCAGAAAAATATTTAAATCCCTTGTGCACCATATAAGAAAGCTTAATATTTGGACCAAAAAGGGAAGCATATATATTAGATAGACAACCTTTCACTGTCCCTGAAGCCCCACAGGAGACCTTGAGAGGGGTGAGCATACAGGGTTTCGTTAGTAATTTAAGCTTGCTTTTGATAAAAGACATGATTTGATGATAGCAAAACAGTTCGCTAAAAGACAGGTGGCATTTTGTCTGAAATTATTGGAAAGAATATGGACGAAGTCCTTCCAAATAATCCCGATACGCAAAAACCCCTTATTGATCCACCATTGAAACACAGATGGTGTTAAACCAGGTGTGAATTCAGGATTACAAAAGACTGGGGCCAGAGGGGTATGTAGGGAAAATAAAGGCTTGCGGGCCCACCATCTATCCTAGAATATTAAGCATGCATATTCTTAGCCCCCAAGTGCATAACCTAACATTTATCAACATTAAACATCATTTGTCACATAGTCATGGCGTACGTACTAGACAGTGGGGGTTTTTGGGCCACTGGCCTTGGCCTTGGCCACTGGAATTGTGTATAAAACGACAGGAAAATTCCTGCCTGTCAGGAGGAAGTAATCGGGTGGCTGCACTGCCACCCGATCCCTTCCATAGCCCCCAGTACCAGTGCCCCCCCTCATGCATGCTCCCACCATGTATCCACCATGCATGGCGGGTGCTGGCAGATGGAGGGGAAAGAGGAGTCCGCTCTCCTCCCCTTCTTTCTGTGGCCCGGAAGGTGATGTGTGTGATGTCACTTCTGGGTCACTGCTGTCACTATCTCAGATAGCACAGCCGAGAAGCAAAGCAATACATTGAGTGGAGGCCAAAGGAGACATGCAGGGTCTTTTAGACCCTGCATGTCTCAATAAAGAAAACCTGTCACCCAAAAATCATCATGTGTCCCCTATGCGATAAAAAAAAAAGTTAATAAAATGTTTTTATTGCAAAATAAAGAGGTACACCCAAGCACATAACACCCCCCCCCCAAAAAAAAAATTGTAACCCTCTCCCACCCCCACATATATACGCACGTAAATGCACAAGTCAGGGCGCCTGAAAATGTTGATTGCGTTACGCATGTTACATAACCCTACTTATGCTCACATTTTGTCATGCTCTTTTGACTTTTTAATTTTAAGGCAGATTACTTGGTATTCAACCATCCAAACCTTTATGTGTAAAAAGTCTGTCCTGCATAAATACTGTACATAAATCTTTATTTTACAAATAAGCATACAATGCCCAGTAATCAGGGGCAGACTGACCATTTGGAACCTCGGGCACTGCCCGAGGGCCCGGGGTCAGTAGGGGGCCTCATGAGATGCCCCTGGTACCTTTTTCATAGGCTTTTTTGAGTTTGGGCAAGGACACAGGGGCCCCATGATCCCCTATTGCCCGGGGGCCCATGAGTTGTCAGTCCACCTTTGCCAGTAATAGCAGTACAACACCGTGTTTAAAACTGAATAAGGCAGTCAATTAAAGCCAAAGTGGGGGAAGGAAGGAAGAAGGATTTTCTACAAATGAGCAGTAAGTGACCTATTTCTTGTTAATTATAGGATGTTACATACTCTAATAAATCTAAATATTATTAATAGTTACTCACTCTGAAGGAGAACAATCTGTAACGTCAGGACTTTTCTGTAGAGAAACAAAAAGAAATCTTGTAAAGCAAAGCACACATCAAAGGACAAAATTAATTTTTTAGGTCAACTATAAGCCCTCTGCTGCCTTGGACCCCCTTAGTAGAATGCTGTAGCTTGGATCCCATGTTGTCTCATTTCCAAATGTTGTTTACAGCAACTATTTCTGATGAAATGGTGAGAACACTGCACTGATATGGCCGTGAGTTAATACCAGATTCCACCAGCAGGGGGCTGATGCAGGTGAATTCTTTCATTTTATTTTGTAAACTATTTGTCAAATTAGTTTGTTAAGAAACATAGCCAGAGTCAAAACAAATTAATAAAAGGTAATGAGCAAATTAGACATTGTACATAGTAGGAGGTTTTTTAAAGATGCATATCATTTCAGCTGTATGGGGATAAATATCATGTTTTGCCTTTTCATACACTTTAAAGGCTTCTTTACTTCAATGCATTTTATAAAACTTTTGCTGTAGTTTTTAATTCATTATCATTCATCTTCATTCAAGAATAATCCATTCAGAGATTTTAAAGGGGAACTCTAATGGTTTAGGGGCTGTTTTTTATTAATTTACATTTTCAAACTGATGTTTGATTTTTTTCATTATTTATATGAAAGCTTTATTTTAAAAATAAACATTTAATACATACTGTAGTACACTGCGCCTCACTGACTGGAAATCCCATTGTGTATCTGCAGAAATCTAATGCTTAGCAAGATGGTGAAGAAAGCATGTATGGTGGCCAGTAGCCCTAAGTTATGGTGGTGGGTGGCTGTTTTAATGTGTGTCTTCAGGGTGCTTGGACTGTGTTGGACGGACAGGCAAATATCAGAGGCAGCTGTGTGGGACTCACTGTGGGGGTGGACATTCTTGATGCGGCTGCAGCTCTGGGTGTACTTTGCAGAGGAATATGGTCACAGCCACTGGATACCCTGGAGTTTAAGGAACAGCGAAGCAGGAGCCAAGAGAGCTGTAGTGCCAGTTGATCTGGAGAGTGGTGAGCAGTGTTCTGAGCAATCCGACAGTTGGCCAGGGAATCAGAAAAGTTACAGTTGTGGAAATGGGAAAGGAGGAAGGCAGCAGCAGCTGTTATGTGTGAAATAGCTAAGTCTAATGGAGCTAGTCTGGAAGTGCCAAATGAAGACGCATAGATCAGGGTACAAAGTGCCAGCCAGACAAATAAGGCTGAGCAGAGGCCAGGATAGGGTCTACAAGAGTAGGGGCTGGTGGGGGTGGAAGCCGAAGAGGAGATGCGTCAGACCCAAGAATAGAAGAAAGAGCTGGACTGAGAGTAAAGCTCAGATGCCTTGGACCTAAACTTACACCACCTTCCAGCTTATTTCTGGCAAAGGTGGTGTCCCTGGAGGGGAAAATGGAGGAGCTACAAATTTATATTGCCAAACAAAGACACTTGGGAGAGTGTTACATCCTTGTTTTTACAGAGACATGGCTTCATAGAGGTATACCTGACAAGATTGTTACCTTTTCAGGGGAGGCTTTTGTTGAGCTCTAATAGGAGTTTTCCAGTAAGACTTCATTAGGTACAAAAAATGGCCTACTCCTAAAGTCAAAGTTGCACACCCCTTATCTGCATAGGCAGTTTTCTGGTAAAAGTACATTATGCCTTTTACCTCCTGATAGAATTTACATCAGTTATTATTTTCAAGGTGTATACATATTCCGCCTAATGCAAATTGCAAAACTGCCATGCAGTTGGTTTCTGATTCCAGGAGTGCTCTGGTGGCAAAAAACACTGACAGAGTTCAAATAGTGGCAGGGAGTTTTAATAATCATTTTTAAGATCTGCTCCTAGGTTTGGACAGCTACATTCATGTTTCATTTGAATCCCAGCCACGGCACCACCTGCCTGGAGTTTGCATGTTTTCCCTGTGCCGGCGATGGTTTCCTTGAAACTTGAGTTTAAGATTAAGTTCTGTAAACAGCAGAAAAAAAACAGGTAAAGATAACCTTGCACACATGAAGCCTGAAGCAACATCTGCAGTATGGAAAAGTAAGCGTGACATACTCATATACAACAGTTCATATTTACCCGACTAAAAAAAAAAAACATTTTGTGAACACCTGCCCATCACACCCATATGAGCTTGGTGGACTTCTCATTCCTAAACCACGGGCAGTAATAAGACATTCCCACCCCCTTGCCTTCCTCTCCCCCTTGTGACTCTAATAGCCTCCACTCTTCTGTGATGGCTTTCCACATGAGTTTGGAGGATTTCTGTGGGAATTTGTACCATAAGAGCATTTGTGGGGTCAGGTCTGATGTTGGAGGAAAAGATCTGGATTAAATTTGGGGTTCCAGTTCATCTGAAAGGTGCTCAGCAGAGTTGATGTCAGGGCTCTGTGCTGTCCACTTGAATTCCCCAACACCAGACTCATCAAACCCTGTCTTTATGGAGCTGGCTTTTGTGTACGGAGCACAGTCATGCTGGAACAGAAAAGGACCTACCCCAAACCGCTGCTACAAGATTGGAAGCATACAATTTTCTAAAATATTTTTTTATGCTGTAGCACTAACACCTTAAAAAAAACACACACACCTGAACTCAAGCATTTGTAGGAAGGTCAACTAAGGTTTGGCAATGCATATATATATATATATATATATATATACAGTTGTGTTCAAAATAATAGCAGTGTGTTGAAAAAAGTGAATAAAGCTCAAAATCCTTAAATAGCTTTTATTTCCATACACACAAATGCATTGGGAACACTACATATTCTATTCCAAATCAAAACATGAAGAAAAATATATCAAATTTGTGTTGTTCCTCTAAAAAATAATAGAAAAGTGAATATTAGACTGTTCAAAAAAAATAGCAGTGTTTGTATTCTTCTTTACAAACTCAAACATTCACTATATAAACTGAAAAATGTTTGAAGATTTTGCTTTCCTTTGAATCACTTAATGAATATTTCGTTGTATAAGCACTGTTTCTGAGAACTGCTGTACATCTGTGTTGCATGGAGTCAACCAACTTCTGGCACCTGTGAACAAGTATTCCAGCCCAGGATGATTGGGCTACATTCCACAGTTCTTCTCCATTTCTTGGTTTTGTCTCAGAAACTGTATTTTTGATGTCACCCACAAGTTTTCTATTGGATTAAGATCCGGGGATTGGGCTGGCCACTCCATAACGTCACTCTTGTTGGTCTGGAACCAAGATGTTGCACGTTTACTGGTGTGTTTGGGGTCGTTGTCTTGTTGGAACACCCATTTCAAGGGCATTTCCTTTCAGCATAAGGCAGCATGACCTCTTCAAGTATTCTGATGTATTCAAACTGATCCATGATCCCTGGTATGTGATAAATAGGCCCAACACCGTAGTATGAGAAACATCCCCATATCATGATGCTTGCGCAACCATGCTTCACTGTCTTCACAGTGTACTGTGGCTTGAATTCAGTGTTTGGGGGTCGTCTGACAAACTGTCTCCGGCCACTAGACCCAAAAAGAACAATCTTACTTTCATCAGTCCACAAAATGTTGCGCCATTTCTCTTTAGGCCAGTCAATGTGCTCTTTGGCAAATTGTAACCTCTTCAGCACATGTCTTTTTTCAACAATGGGACTTTGCGGGGGCTTTTTGCAGATAGCTTGGCTTCACATAGGCGTCTTCTAATTGTAACAGTACTCATAGGTAACATTAGACCTTCTTTCATCTTCCTGGAGCTGATTGTTGGCTGAGTCCTTGCCATTTTGGCTATTCTTCTATCCATTCGAATGGCAGTTTTTCGCTTTCTTCCACGTCTTTCAGGTTTTGGTTGCCATTTTAAAGCATTTGCAATCATTTTAGCTGAGCAGCCTATCATTTTCTGCACTTCTTTATATGTTTTCCCCTCTCCAATCAACTTTTTAATCAAGGTACGCTGTTCTTCTGAACAGTGTCTGGAACGACCCATTTTCCTCAGAATTTCAGAGAGAAATGCACTATAACCAGCATGTACAACATTTGCTGCCTTCCTTCCTTAAATAAGGGCAATAATTGCCACCTGTTTTTCAAAGAATGAATGACCTCACTAATAGAACTCCACACTGCTATTATTTTGAACATGCCCCTTTCAATTAGTGATTCAATTACACAGAATCAGCAGCATGCATGTCATGACTGTTGGGTCTGTTGGATTTCTATTACTCTACTACACCTGATAGTAAATTATTTGCCATGTAGAAATATCATTTCTACCAAAAACAGTGATTGATCAGGTTAGTGATGTCTGACTGCTATTATTTTGAACACAACTGTATATACTAAAATAGTACATCTTTTTCTTTCTTTATTATGTCAAAGACTACAAGATTTTTTTATTGCTGTGGCACTACACATTCCACTTTGCACTGTTTAGCAGAATAAGTCCTCTGGTAGGTTAACTGGCTCCTGTCTATATTGGCCCTAGTATGTGTATATATGAATGTGAGTTAGGGACCTTAGATTGTACGCTCCTTGAAGGCAGGAACTGATGTGAATGTACAATATATATGTAAAGTGCTATGTAAATTGACGACGCTTTATAAGTACCTAAAATAAAAAATAAATAAATACCTGATAATAAATAAAGTAGTACACTCACTCACCCTTCTGTTTGGTAAAATTGTTGCTCTTGCACCACTGAGCTTCCATAAAACCAGAAAAATAAAAATAATAATTACACCAAAACCAAAATTCAGCATGGAGACTCCGGGACACATTCCTATATGCTTGTGACAAGATGCAGAGACAAATGGCTTTGCTAATAATAAACCAATGACAGAATCATGGTCATGCAGTTAGAGTGACAATTATTAGGCTTCGGTGTCTTTTATTATCTTGTCAACTAAACAAACATAAGAGCATTTGTAAACCTCATAACTTGTAACAAAAAAAAATCTTTATACCATCAGGTATGATAAAAAAAAGAAAGGTTTTTGTGCCTACAAAAGTTCCTTGTCTCTGTATTCTGTGCAACCATTGTGATCTTACTTAAGAGTTTATTTG